AAATCTGTGAACATTAACATTCTGCCAGGTAAGGAGATCTCCCAGACACAGATTTATACAGTTTTGGAACATCTCCCTCTCCTGGCTTCCACCACCCAGCTTCCATACTGTCCTTGAAATCAATGAATGGTAGTTTAGTGTTTCACTAGCAAATGTCTGAATAAGAAAGCTTTGGTTTCCGCTGTGCCTCCTGTTACAACAAAAACGTGTGCTGCATAAATTTAATTGGCTTACATTAATGTGTAAGCCTTTCTGCGAAGAGATAGATAATCTGCAGAGGGATAGAGTTTTGAGTATAAAGACAGTACTTCCAATTACTGTTTCTGTAGTACAATCAGTCTGAGACAGAAGCTTCTCCTTTAGAATATCAACTGATGACAACACTGGCTCGAGCAAAGTGACCAGTCTCAAATGGCTACTCGCGCTCGGGGTTGCAGGTTGCTAGGGCTCAGGCAGTGGCTGTTTTCCCCGCCGAAAAGGGGCGGGGTGAGTTGGTGTGTTAGAAAAAAAATACAGAGATACATATATATTGTCTGCCTCTCCACAGAGGTAATGATCCGTGGAAAGAAATACCAATTGAGCAGGAGGAAGGTGAAAAAAATAGGTTGGATTTATCTTATTTTATTATATTTTGGGGTTTGGTTTTGGGCATTTTTTTTTTCTCCTACCAATGCTGCGACGCATTAACCCTGCTGCTATTGGGATGTTATCTGCTCAGCCTATTGGCTGAGCCCAGGAGCTGCTGTCTGCCAATCGGATGGTGAAAGGCAGACAAATCTACCCCGCCACCAGCAAAAAACGGCGCGTAACCCTTGCAGCGCCGGCCCAGCCGCGCCAGAGCTGGCGCGGGGAAAGGGAGATAGGCGCCTCCAGCTGCTGTGGCCATTTGGGGCGGGTCGGCGGCTTCTGCTTCTCAGGACCAAGTAGAGACTTGGCGGATGGCAGCAATGATCCGCAAGGTGAGAAGCTGGGTAGAGATCTGGCGGGGGGCTACCCTTTTGTTCTTCTTTTGCCACCTGGGTTACGTTTGTGGGCAGATCCGTTACCCAGTCCCAGAGGAGTCACAGGAAGGGACTTTTGTAGGGAATGTCGCCCAAGATTTCCTGCTGGATACAGAGAGTCTGTCAGCTCGCAGGCTGCAGGTCGCTGGAGAGGTGAACCAAAGACACTTCCGTGTGGATTTGGACAGCGGAGCCCTGCTCATCAAGAATCCAATCGATCGAGAGGCACTGTGTGGGCTCAGTGCCAGCTGCATCGTGCCCCTGGAGTTTGTAACCGAAGGGCCTTTGGAAATGTACCGAGCCGAGGTAGAGATAGTAGATGTGAATGATCACGCCCCCCGATTTCCGCGGCAGCAGTTGGACTTGGAAATCGGGGAGGCAGCTCCTCCAGGACAGCGTTTTCCCTTGGAAAAGGCTCAGGATGCAGATGTGGGGAGCAATTCCATTAGCAGCTACAGACTGAGCTCCAATGAACACTTCGCATTGGATGTGAAGAAGCGCAGCGACGGCAGCCTGGTCCCAGAGCTGCTCCTGGAGAAGCCTTTGGATCGAGAGAAGCAATCGGACTACCGCCTGGTGCTGACTGCTGTGGATGGAGGGAACCCCCCAAGATCTGGCACCGCGGAGCTCCGGGTGTCAGTGCTCGACGTAAATGACAACGCCCCAGCCTTCCAGCAGTCCAGCTACCGGATCAGCGTGTTAGAGAGCGCTCCAGCGGGCATGGTACTCATCCAGCTCAATGCCTCTGACCCGGACCTGGGTCCTAGTGGTAACGTCACCTTTTCTTTCAGTGGTCACACCCCTGATCGTGTGAGAAACCTTTTTAGTCTGCATCCCACTACCGGAAAGCTTACCCTGCAGGGGCCCCTAGACTTCGAGAGTGAGAATTACTACGAATTTGATGTTCGGGCTCGTGATGGGGGGTCTCCAGCCATGGAGCAACATTGCAGCCTGAGGGTGGATCTTCTGGATGTAAATGACAACGCCCCCCACATCACAGTGACCTCAGAGCTTGGAACTCTCCCAGAGAGCGCAGAGCCTGGCACTGTGGTGGCACTCATAAGTGTGCAGGACCCTGACTCAGGGTCAAATGGAGACGTGAGCCTGCGAATTCCTGACCACTTGCCATTTGCCCTCAAGTCTGCCTTCAGGAACCAGTTCTCCCTGGTGACTGCTGGACCCCTGGACCGAGAGGCTAAATCCAGTTATGACATCATGGTCACTGCTTCTGATGCTGGGAGCCCTCCTCTGAGTACTCACAGGACTATTTTCCTCAATATTTCAGATGTGAATGACAACCCACCCTCTTTCTTCCAGAGGTCACATGAGGTGTTTGTTCCTGAGAACAACCGCCCAGGCGACCTGCTTTGCTCCCTTGCAGCCTCTGACCCAGACTCTGGCCTGAATGCACTTATTTCCTACTCTCTCTTAGAGCCCAGAAATAGAGATGTGTCAGCTTCATCCTTCATCTCACTGAACCCCCAGACAGGAGCTGTTCATGCTACTAGATCTTTTGACTATGAGCAAACACAGACACTTCAATTTGAGGTACAGGCCCGGGACAGAGGCAACCCTCCCCTTAGCAGCACTGTGACAGTTCGCCTGTTTGTGCTGGACCTCAATGACAATGCCCCAGCCGTGCTCCGCCCTAGGGCCAGGCCTGGTTCCTTATGTCCCCAAGCACTGCCTCCATCAGTTGGTGCTGGCCACTTAGTCACCAAAGTTACTGCTGTGGACTTGGATTCAGGTTATAATGCTTGGGTTTCCTATCAGCTCCTGGAGGCCCCAGATCCCAGCCTGTTTGCAGTGTCTCGATATGCTGGGGAGGTGAGGACAGCCGTTCCCATCCCAGCTGATCTCCCACCACAAAAGCTGGTCATTGTGGTGAAGGACAGTGGTAGCCCACCACTCTCTACCTCTGTTACTCTCCTAGTGTCCTTAGAGGAAGACACCCATCCGATTGTCCCTGATCTTCGAGAATCTTCAGCTCCACGGGAAGGAGAATCCCGCCTGACCCTCTACTTGGCTGTGTCCCTCGTGGCAATTTGCTTTGTCTCTTTTGGCTCATTTGTGGCACTACTCTCTAAGTGTTTGCGTGGGGCTGCCTGTGGAGTAACATGCTTTCCTGCCGGCACTTGTGCCTGTCTCACCAGATCTCGAAGGAGGGAGGGGCTTCCTCCTTCCAATGGGATCCTCCGAATCCAACTAGGGTCAGATGATCCTATCAAGTTTGTTGATGTGGGAGGCCACTCTCACGGCTGTACACCCTTGGCTTCTGCACCCACTCGGAGTGATAGCTTCATGATGGTGAAGTCACCCAGTGCACCTATGGCAGGGGAACCTGTTCGCCCAAGCTGTCCACCCTCTGATCTTCTCTATGGGCTAGAGGTGAGACCCTTGTGGGCTCAGCCAGTGCTTGAGGGGTGTTTTGATCCAGGCATATGGCTGGGCTACATCCCAGAGATTACTGGCCTCCTTGTAAGAGCCCATAGTGATGTCACCGTTTTTGTGAATAGTAACTGTGAGTATGTGGTAGATGCTGTGCTTTACAAGTATTTTGTGAATTAACCAGGGAGATGTCACAGATTGCGCTTGGGGGAGGGTCATGCCCTTATCTGAAAGTAAGGAATAAAAGTAATTGGTAATCAAGAACCAGGCTGTTGTGGAAGCATGCTGACGGAACGTGGGAGCACAGAAGGCTCAAGTGTACCTTCTGTGTACCCACCTCAAGGGTGGGTTGCATGGGGCCATCATCCTAAACCCAGGGTGCTGCTTTCTCTACTTTTTTTTTTTTTTGGCAGTACTGGGGCTTGAACTCTGTGCTTTGCACTTGCAAAGCAGGCATTGCTCTACCTCTTGAGCCACACCTCTTGTCCTCTCTACTCTTTCTGAATGAAGGGGTCAGGTTCGGGCTCTGGAGAACCTTAACTCTAGGTTACCATTTCTCAGCGGATTGTGGGGAAACTAAAATCTTTGCCCTGTAGTATCTAGTACTCCTTGGCCTGCCATGAAGGGAACTATTTGTAACATAGCAGAGAGCCAAAAGTGGAGGGAGCCAAAGGAACAGTAAGGTACTGATCAAAGTGGTAGCAGAGATCTTTTGGTCCAGATCCCTTAGGACTTCTGATCAAGTTCCTACTGGGATTCAAACTAGATGCAGTAGACTGGAAGCAGGGGTGCATTTGTTTCCTCTTTGGGAAAAAAAATAGTAAGTGAAATAATTTAACGTCAGAAAACTGATTTATTGTTGAGGAATTCATAGATAGCCATTCTGGGAGTATTTAAGTAGAGTCCTGAGTTTTGTGAAACCATAAAGCCTAGAGGCCATTTCTGGCCTCTGGCCTCCCTCCTGGGTAACCTAGATTAGCCCCAGAAACATTCCTTCCTCAAAACTGTGCTGCTCATTTCTTTTTTTTTTTTTTTGCAGCACTGGGATTTGAACTCAGGGCCTCACATTTGCTAGGCAGCCGCTCTTACCACTGAGCTACTCTGCTAGTCCCCCCCCCCTTTTGTGATGAGGTTTTTTTGAGAGAGGGTCTCATGAACTATTTGCTCCAGGGCTGGCTTTGAACCATGATCCTCCTGAGCTCTGCCTCTTGGGTAAATAGATACAGCCACCAGCTCCTGGCTCTCATTCCACATTCTGAGTCCAGCATTTCAGAAGAGCTAAGTCCTATAGCATCAGCTGATTTTCTTCAAAGAGTTGCTGAAGAGTTAGATCAAGACTTTATAAGGTTCTAACAAATCTTTTAACCTTGCAGCATTCAGCAGGGCGGGGATGGGAATGGGGCGGGAAACACATGGGCTTTGCTTCTTCCAAAGAGATAAAATATTTTTGGTTCAAGCAAAGTAGTGGAAGCTTCTGAAGTCACGCAGGAAGTTGCTGGGACAGAACCCTGAGGAGTTTTGTACCACTTTGTCTTCTCTGTTGAGCACCATCTGAGCTGTCAAACTTAGCTGCCAAGGGGGCTGAATCAACCTGCAGCACAAAATGAGTGGGGAGGTAGGAGGCTTCTGTGACACAGATTTTCAGCGCTGGTTCCCAAGGTTTCCAGTACTGAGGAGACTTCGCAATTGGTTGAGAGCAGACAGACTTTTTGGCCAATCAAACTCAGAGCTGAGGTGGGGGATCTGCTCTTCCTGCCTGCCTCTCCTCCTCCAGCTCCCCAGCTCCACTCACATTTAACTCCCTCCCCCCACCACCACCCCCGCCATTTGGTGACTAAGAACTGCTGCAGGCAGGCAAACCTCCGAGCAGTTTTTAAGAGACTAGAAGGAGACATAAGAGATTTCAGCTTCTACATTTCAAGTGGTGGGTCTACCTGGGAGACAGGACAGCACAGTTACTCTCCAGGAAAGGACTCCTGGGTCATGGGGCACAAGACACCCCCACAGCTCGCTGGGAAATGGCAAGTGCTGTGTATGTTGTCCTTGTGCTGCTGGGGCTGGGTGTCTGGGCAGCTTCGTTATTCAGTGGTGGAGGAGTCTGAGCCGGGGACGCTGGTGGGAAATGTTGCTCAAGATCTGGGCTTAAAGGTGACAGATCTATTGAGTCGCCGACTGCGGTTGGGCTCTGAGGAGAATGGGCGTTATTTTTCCCTGAGCTTGATAAGCGGTGCTTTGGCAGTGAATCAAAAGATTGATCGAGAGAGCCTGTGTGGAGCCAGCACCAGCTGCCTGCTCCCAGTGCAGGTGGTGACCGAACACCCCCTGGAGCTCATCCGTGTAGAGGTAGAGATCCTGGATCTAAATGACAACTCTCCGAGCTTTACCACTCCTGAGCGAGAGATGCGTATCTCAGAATCAGCTGCACCTGGGGCTCGATTCCCACTGGATAGTGCCCAAGATCCAGACGTGGGCACCAATGCTGTGAGCTTTTACACGCTAAGCCCCAGCAGCCACTTCTCTCTGAACGTGAAGACCCTAAAAGATGGGAAGCTGTTCCCAGAGCTGGTGCTAGAGCAACAGCTGGATCGTGAAGCCCAGGCAAGACATCAGCTGGTGCTCACTGCTGTGGATGGGGGTACCCCAGCTCGCTCAGGGACCAGCCTTATCTCTGTCATCGTACTGGACATCAATGATAATGCTCCAACCTTCCAGTCTTCAGTTCTACGTGTGGGCCTCCCAGAGAATGCACCCACAGGTACACTGCTACTCCGTCTCAATGCCACTGATCCAGATGAGGGCACCAATGGCCAACTAGACTATTCTTTTGGAGACCATACATCTGAGGCAGTGCGGAATCTCTTTGGCCTGGACCCTAGCAGTGGCGCAATCCATGTGTTCGGTCCAATAGACTTTGAGGAGTCAAATTTCTATGAAATCCATGCAAGAGCCAGAGACCAGGGACAGCCAGCCATGGAGGGCCACTGTGTGATTCAAGTGGATGTGGGGGATGCCAATGACAATGCCCCTGAGGTGCTACTTGCCTCTTTGGTCAATCCTGTCCTGGAGAGTACACCAGTGGGCACAGTAGTGGGGTTGTTTAATGTTCGGGATCGAGACTCAGGTAGAAATGGTGAAGTGACCCTGGATATCTCTCCAGACCTGCCGTTTCAGATTAAGCCTTCTGAGAACCACTACTCACTGCTAACCAGCCAGCCCTTGGACCGTGAGACCACATCCCATTATATCATCGAGCTGCTGGCCAGCGATGCTGGCTCACCTCCCCTGCATACCCACCTTACCATCAGGCTCAACATCTCAGATGTTAATGACAACGCACCCCACTTTGCCCAGCAGCTCTACACTGCTTACATCCCAGAAAATCGGCCTCCAGGCTCTCTTCTCTGCACTGTGGCTGCCTCAGATCCAGACACTGGGGCTAATGCCCGCCTCACCTACTCCATCATAGGGAGTCAGATTCAGGGAGCTCCAGCCTCCTCCTTTGTGTATGTCAACCCTGAGGATGGACGGGTCTTCGCCCAACGTACCTTTGACTATGAATTGCTGCAGATGCTGCAGGTTGCGGTGGGAGTTCGAGACTCTGGCTCCCCACAACTGCATGCTAACACATCTCTACATGTGTTTGTCCTTGACCAGAATGATAATGCCCCTGCTGTGCTGCACCCAAGGCCAGGCAGGGAGCTGTCAGCCCCCCAGCGTCTCCCTCGCTCTGCTCCTGCTGGCTCCTTGGTCACCAAAGTGACAGCTGTGGATGCTGATGCAGGCCACAATGCATGGCTCTCTTATTCCCTGTTGCCACAGTCCACAGCCCCAGGACTGTTCCTCGTATCTGCACACACTGGTGAGGTGCGCACAGCCCGGGCCTTACTGGAGGATGACTCTGATACCCAACAGGTGGTGGTCCTAGTGAGGGACAATGGTGACCCTTCACTCTCCTCTACTGCCACTGTGCTGCTTGTTCTGGAAGATGAGAATGCTGAGGAAATGCCCAAATCCAGTGACTTTCTCACACACCCTCCTGAGCGTTCCGACCTTACTCTTTACCTCATTGTGGCTCTAGCAGCCATCAGTCTCTTATCCTTAGTCACCTTCACCATTCTGTCAGCTAAGTGCCTTCGGGGGCACTCAGATGGGGTTGGGGGTGGGGGCCAGTGCTGCAGGCGCCAGGACTCCCCCTCTGGGGAGTTCTATAAGCAGTCTAGCCCTAACCTGCAGGTGAGCTCAGATGGCACGCTCAAGTACATGGAGGTGACGCTGCGGCCCACGGACTCACAGAGCCATTGCTACAGGACGTGCTTTTCACCAGCCTCGGACGGCAGTGACTTCACTTTCCTGAGGCCCCTCAGCGTTCAGCAGCCTTCAGCTCTGGCGCTGGAGCCTGATACCTTCCGTTCCCCCTCTAATACGCTGCGGGAGCGGAGCCAGGTGAGGGCTGGGCGGCCACCACCCAGGGCGACCCCTGGGAGGCAGCGTAGGAGAAGCTGCCTGTCCATTTAAGGGACTTTGAACTTGCATCCACCCCTCTCTGGCTGGCGATGCTGGCTGTGCTCTCGGGACCATTTGAACTGACTTCGAGGAACCGAAGGAGTGGAGTGGTTGAGGCGGGGATGGGGCTCTGAGCACTGGGAAGTGGTTTTTGATTGTGGGTGAGGAGAGGTCAGTCCGACCCCACCCCCACAATCAGAAAGGGCTGGGGCTCCGTAGAGCTTTCAGCGAATTTCTAGCGATTTCCGCAAGGGTCGGGGGTCCCAAGTAGAGGTCATCACAGACCCTCCTAGGCGCCGGCCCCAGTAAGCCTCACAGGCCTTTAGGCTCTTGGGTTCTCCCCACTCCCACGATCTGTGACTTCACAGTCATCTTCAACTCTTCGTGTCCCGGTCCTCCTAACTGCTTCCGTTGACAGGACTCAGGTGAGCCACTGGGTTCACTTACATCCTACCTGCGACCACACCCACGAGCCCCGTCCCGCTTGCGGGCTCGGCTCGCCTGACTGGCACACACGCATACCAGCTCTCGCTGCCAGTCCATGGCTGCCAGGTTCACGGGGCTATCCCCTCCATTGCCCCCAGGGGGTTGACTGTGATGCCTTGGTAAGGGTCCCAAGTCTTCTGCTGCCCAGGGCCTGGGCAAGGATTCAGAATTCTTCCCCCACCAGGTTTGAGCCTTTCCGGCGGTTCCTAGAAGCAGGAGCGATGCTGGGCCTTCTAGACGCGGGGCTTGTGGGACTCTACGACCCGCTAGCCAGCGGGTCCTGCTGGGCCTGGGGCTCCATAGGAAGGAAGGTGGCACCTCAGCCCAGAAACATCAGACACATGGGCCAACTGAACCAGTGTAGTGAGCAGGCCTCCGTAAGACAAGTGGCCCTTTCCTCCCTACTCCCTAAGTGAGAGCCTGGAGCATCCCAACTCTGGATGCTCAGAAATAGACTTTGGCTCTGTCCTGACCAGGATGTGCCCAGCGACCCAGGGTCAGGGCTTTAGGGGTGACCTGAGACTCTTGATGAGTTCTCCCTCCTCTGGCAGATGGAAAGCCACAGACTGTCAATGCCAGAGGTTCCTTCATATGTGGGGAAACTATAATAGTAAAGAGCACTAGTTTCCACGACCCTTAAGCCTATGCCCCATCCTGCCTATACTGTATATGGGAATTTTGAAACAACATCCCCAGGTGCTTCTGATAGCTGATTGGGAGAGCCATACTACACTCTACATGGAGAACCAGGATGTCTCATGTGCTCTTCCCACCACTGCTGCTGGATGGTATTAGCATCCTCATAACAGTTTCATGGAGGTCAAGTGACTTGTTCAAGTTCAGAGTAGGTGATAGAGTCTAACCCAGGTCTGTTTAGCTCCAGTGTGTGCTTTGAATGGCTTGGCACTTAGAACTTGTAAAGCTGGACAAGAGTCAAGAGATGGTTGGCAGTTGCTAGGATGGGCAAAGGTGGGATTCTTTCCCCATTAGGATCTTCAGTATGAAAGAGTCTTTGTTTTGGGGGCTTGTCATCCTCAGCAGCCCTTCCAGAACATTGACCTGCCTGTCTCATGTGGGTGGTGAGTTTGCAGCTCCCTGTCCTGCCATCATGATTCCTGCATCTTTATGTAGATTCTGCCATGCTTAAGGGCTGGACATCCCCGCTCCCTTCTCTACGACAGCGCCAGAATGGTGCTCCTGGCTCAGAATGCACTTGGGATGTTCCGTTTCTGGCTTCTGCTCACATTACTGTCACCTGTGAACCTTAGTGTGAGTCACTGGTAGTCCTGGAACTTCTTTTCCCCAGTGTAATCTGAGACGGTCACATTCTCCGCTCCTGGCAGTGAGTGTGAGAATTAATTACCAGCGCACCCCAGAACAGGGCTGCAGGTGTGCTCCCCGAGAGTGTGTGATGACATAAAAAGGCTCCCGAAAGGACTGGGAAGAACTTGGAAGTTAAGGGGCTGGCATATCCCCCACACATTTGGCCAGGTGGGAGATGGCTACAGATTAGCCCCTTGGGAGTCCTGGAAACTTAGTTGGCTGTGCTCAGAGGCTGTGGGATCTTGATCCCTCTGGGCTCCATCCCAGCCATTTCCTCTGTCCCAGACAGAGCAGCCTTGTTCTCTCTTCCTTAGTTACAGGCCATTGTCTGCCATGGAGTTCTGGGGGTGAGAGGTGTCCTGGGGCATGGATGCCCTGCAAAGGCCCAGTCTGGCACGTCTCCTAAATTAATAATGTATTTAGCTGTGGGACGAGATCCCTGAGAGCCAAGGCCTGGACGGGGGTGGGGTGGGGGGGGTGGGAGGGGTCCTTCTGAATGTGTCACTGCACTTGGCAGGAAAAGGGTTACCCAGAGCAGCAGCCATCTTGCTGCAGAGGATGCTTTGTTCCCAGCTGAGGAACTGAATAACTTCAGCTTGTGAACTTCTGCCTAAAAGCCTCCTCTGCCACTTCTGAGGACCTTCTTTACACTTGCGCCCCTTCCCCCTTCCACAGAAGACATTTTCAGTCTTTGAATTTCAACTCAGAAGTTCTGAGTCTGGGGGCATGGAAAAGGGGGCCATTTTTCTCTTTTTTGTATTCATTTTTAATTAGTGTATATTAGTTGTACAAAACAATGGGTTTCATTATGAAATTTTCATACATGTATGTAATATACTTTGATCAGATTCATCTCCCCATTATCCTCAAAAGGAGCCATTTCTTTAGCAAAGAAATCTAGGCTTGCTCACTGTGGTCAAAAGTGTGCAAGTGAACAAAAGAAATGCTATTTTCTTTTTGTCTCTGGTAAGTCAGACCTCTGAGACCTAAGGTTTTTATTTTGTTTGTTTTTCTTTCGGTCTTTGGAGACGTCTGCCTCTCCCATCTTACCCCATTCCCTTTTCCTGGCCCATCCCCAGGGGCTCGGGTGATTATGTGACTGCTCCTGAATACTCAGTCCTTTTCCCTCTGTTTTTTCTCTACAGCAAGCCCCGCCCAACACGGATTGGCGTTTCTCTCAGGCCCAGAGACCTGGCACCAGCGGGTATGTGACTAATTCTTCTGCCCACCTTCTTCTCTGTGACATTTTCTCAGTGATGATGTGGGAAGAAGTGGGGAGGGGGAGGCTTGGCATTTGCTACAAATGCCTTCTTCCTTCAGGTCAAGATTTCTGGGCGGTTTTGGTGTGTTGGGGGTGGAATCACAGACCCCAGAAGGAGGACACGCCTACCCTGACTATTGTGGAAGCCTAATTCCCACACTCATCCCTATCCGTTTTCTCCACCACATTTTCTTATCTCCTGAGGGATCTGGGGGGGCCCAAGATGGTTTTCAGCTGGTCTCTGGATAGAGGCTTTCTGTACCTGTCTACTGCTTACATCCACCTCCCAGGACTTGAGCTGGGCTCTATCCTGACCCCGGGCTCTGGGAACCAAACACCAGCAAGAGGAGGAGCAGGAGGAGGCTCGCTGAGGCAGCTGTGGGGAAAGGAGACAGCACAGCTGGAGATGGAACTGAGGGGGAGTGGCCGGGCTGGTCTTCCTCATCCTGTTCCTCCTCTAGCTGTCTTCTGGCCCCAACTCATCCTGCCCAGTCTTCCTCTGGGACTTCTGTCCCTGCCTCCTCTTTCTTCAGTCTGTGTCCCTCTCAGTGTGCAGTCTCTGTTTCTCCCTCTGTCAGTCCCTCTCTCAGGTTCTGTCCTTGCTACTGCATCTTGGTCCCTAGCATTTGTGTCTGCTTGCACTGATCTGTGCCTGCTTGGCGTGAGTGCTCAATAAATGTGGAAGGAACCAATAAATGTGACTCTTCCTTAGTGTCAGTCTCTCCCTCTCTTCCTTCCTCTCCCTCTCTCCCTCCCCCACTCTGTTTCTCTTCATCCTGTCCCTTTCCCTGAGCTACTGTCTCTGACTCTCATTTCTTTGGATTTGTGGGCAAGCTAGTACACACAGTCACCCCCCACCCCCGCCCCTCACACACAGAGCCTTTGATCCCTGCTCCCCACCACTCACCCTCCCACCAAGACTGCCCCAGCTGCTCATTTCAATGGGGTATGAATTCCTGCTGAGACAGGAACCGCCTGCGGGTGGGGGGACTTCAGCGGAAAAACCTCCAGTTGGTTTGTGGGGAGTGAGATGGGCTCAGGGCCAAGCCTCCTTGGAAGAGGCTGTCAAGGAGACAGGCCAGGGCTTGGGCTGCTACCCTTGCCTGTGTTTGCCAGTATGCTAAGACACTGAGCTTGGGGGCTTCCGTTCCCCTTCCCACCAACCAAGTCCTCACTGCTGCAGGAACCTTGGAGGCTTTGGTTTCCAAGGTAGATTCCAGCTCCTGGGCGTGCCCAGGCCTGTCCAATGGCACCAGGAATGCAAAGCACTTTCTAGAAGGCCTCTAAGAGGCAGCAAACCAGAAAGCTTGGGCTGCTTTTGTTCCTCCTTGAACCCACATCTATTTCCCTTCTTCCCATAGGTTATCCATAAGTTATTCATGTACTCACGCATTCAACAAATATTTACTGAGCATTTACTATGAGCCAGCCCTGTGCTACTGGGCAGTAAGAGTGAACAAGCAGACCCAATCCCCGAACTCCAGGTCAGCAGAGGAGAGAAAATTGACGACACATTACACTTCAAAAAGTCTAGTTACACATTTTAGGAAGTTCTAGGAAGAAGAGTATGAGTGTATTGGTGGAGGGGAATCCAAGAAGGCTTCTTGGAAGAGGAGTGGACATTTGAACTGGGGCAGCTATGAGAAGACATATTAGGCAATTTGTGTTCCCTCTACCCAGCCCTGCCCAGGCCATACACTGGCCCTGAAGCAGAAGTCCCTGCTGGACCAGGAAGCCCCAGCCATTGCCTTTTATGTCCCTGCTGGGGTGCACCTTCCCTCTGCTTGCAGCATGAGTCTCTCCCAATTCATCAGTAAGAGTCTGGCATCTGTGGGGGAGCTCTTAGGGGGATGGAGAAGGCTCCAGAGCTCCCCCTTCCTCAGTTAGGATTTGGAGGATGGAGCAAACATTTCTGATTCAGCTCTAAAGTGACCAAGATGAAAGCAGAGGTAGGGTCCCTGCCTCCATTATCGAAATAGTCAAGAAGCACCTACTGGAGACCAGGCAGAGTGCCAGGTGTGGGAGAGATAAAACATACATGGTCTGGGCTCTCAAGGAGTTTGCAGTGCGTGGAGGGAGGCAAACATGAACCAATCACAAAAATACATGCAGGATTGGAGCTGTCTTCAGTGCTGTGCAGAGCAGTACCTGGTGGTGAGGGCATGGGGTGGAGATTTGACCTAGTCAGGGAACAGGGGGCTATGTTGAGATCCGAAGACTGAATACAAATTAACTAGGTGAAGATAAGAGGGACCTTGCTTTTCTTCCCCCCACTTGATAATATGTCCTGAAAGTGAGCTCACATAAGGTGCAGACTAATGTCACTGTATTTATTCAATTAGTGGTGGACACTTGGGCTGTTTCCAATCTTTAGCTGTTACAAATAAAACCACAATGCTGGCTGTGGAAAAAAAAAAAAAGAGGAAAGAACACTCTAGATGGAGGAAGAGCATATGCAAAGGCCCTGTGCTGATGCTTCTCAGGATTCCAGAATTACAGGGAGTTTTCTTTTGCCATTTTTTCCCATTCGCAATACAGACCAGGCACACAGCCTGAGCTGAACTGTAGGTTTACTTTGCCTTTTCTTTCTATACAGTCTGTGTAAGAACACAGCCTGTGGTAAGCACCAGGAGGCTTCTTGGTTGCCATTTTGATGAGCACATTGGAGTAAGGGATGAAGAGGGAGATTGTGCTTGTTTAATCTCCAGCCCTCTGCTCTTTTCCTCACTCCCTCCTTACTGTCTTGCTCACAGCCCCTCCATCTGGTATGGCACACTAGATTCAGAAGGGCCAATTTTGACTTCTTCTGTAAACCTGGCTTAAGCTTAAGCCAGCACTGGGCCACACTGCCTGCACAAGGACATTCTGAAGTCCTTGTCTACCACATGCTTCTCCGTCCCACTACTAAGCCTTCTCAGGTCATTCTCTTGTTTTTGATCCTAGCAGCTGCTGTCCCAAGCTCTGAGCCCAGCAATCCATCTCTCCCCCTACCAAGCTGTAACCTGGGTCCTGCCCTCCCACAGCTGTCTGCAGCTTCTGCGGGCAGAGAGACTGTCTCCATTTTGGCTTCCCTAGCACCACCCTGCTCTTCTTCCATGGCTCCATACTATTGTCCTCCAACTCTGGATCCCCTTCCAGTCCTGCTCCTTTGAAACACACTCGCTCTGCTCACTCTCACACTGGGCATTCATTCAACAAATAGTGGTTTTTTTTTTCTGCTTATAAAATAATACTGAATATAATGAATAATAATGTTCATTATAGAAACATGAGAAATAGAGAAAATTCAGAGAAACTCCTTATTTTTATATGCTAACTTCCTTTTTAATATGGAAAACTTTAAATATACACAAAAGTAGAGAGGTGGTGCTCTGAAACTCTAGGATCCTGTTACTCACCTCTAATGAATGCCCTACCTGTTTCATTTATATCCTCACCCTCAGGCTCCCTTAGGATTTTTCTTTTTTTCAGTGGGACTGGGGTTTGAACTCAGGGCTTTGCACTTGCAAAGCAGGCTCTCTACTGCTTAAGTCACATCTTTAGTCCATTTTGCTCTGGTGATTTTTGGAAATGGGATCTCTTGAACTACTTGCCTGGGCTGACCTTGAACCACAATCCTCTCAATATCAGCCTCCCAAGTCTCTTGGATTACAGGCATGACCCACCGTGCCTGGCTCCCCTATGGATTCTTTTGAAGCACATCTTGAACATCACATAATTTCATCTGGGTCTTCACCATCCTCAGCAGATGGTTCTGTTTTAAGATCCACATTTTGTGTTTGGTTGAGTGTTTCTGAAGTCTCTGAAACTCTTTTAATGTAAATATTTCTTCCCCATCTTTTGTTTGCACTTTATTCACTGAATCATCAACACTTTCATACATATCTTTCTAAACATTTTTGTATCGTCAAATAGCAAGCATAAGTTGCATTTTTAAAAAAAATCTGATTCACCTAAATAAAGTGTTCACAAACTTGTTCACACTTAATATCAAGAGCTTCCATTCAAAAAACAAAACAAAAAGAACATTCATCCCCAGAAAACTGATATATTTCATACAGGTTGTTTGTTTGTTTGTTTGCTTGTTTCAGACAGTGTCTCCCTGTGTAGCCCATGCTGGTGTTGAACTCATAATCTTCCTGCCTCAGCACCCCAAGTACTGGGATTAGGGGTGTGCACTACCACACCTGGCAGATTATAGTTTGCTTGTTTTTTAAATAGTAATTAAGGCTATACTGTCCATTAGTATTGTAGTCTATTTTTTCCTCTTTGCAATATAGCAGGAGAATTTCCATGTCAATAAAAATTTTCAAGTCACTTAATCATTGTACAATAGACCCTCATATGGGCATTTATGTATATTTTTAGGCTAATAGGCTCTTGCTATTGTGTATTTAAAAAATACACACACATTTACATTTTAACAATAAAGTCCAGGCTATTGTTAGGGTGGCTTTCCCAGATTTCTCACCTTTTCTTTTTCTTTTTTTGTGGTACTGAGGTTTGAACTCAGGGCCTACACCTTGAGCCACTCCATCACAGGTTTTTTCCAGAGAGTCTCGCAAACTATTTGCCCTGGCTGACATCGAAACACAGTCCTCCTGATCTCTACCTCCTAAGTAGCTAGGATTACAGGCATGAGTCACCAGTGCCCGGCTCACTTTTTCTTGAGTATGATTTGGGGAGTATTTTATTATAGGGATACTACACACATACACACACACACACACACACACACACACACACACACACAAATCCACCTTGTACAGAAGTCTTAGGGCAGGAACTATGTGTGTCATCTCTGAAATTCTAGGGCCTATCTCAGGCACATAGTGGGTGCTTGAAAAATGGCCTATTGATGTAGTCAGCAGCCTCTGTGTTCACTTTTCACTCTTCCCCCAGATATCCTGGAAGAGCCTCTGTATCTGCTGCCCGGGCTGCAGGGTCTCCCTGTTGAAACCTAGTTGGTGTGTGTGAGATCTCAGACTTTGGGGTTATATTAGGACATTTGGGTTGCAGCTCTGCTACTTACCAGCTGGGTGACTTTGAGAAGGCCTCTGAGCCCTGATTTCACCTGCTGGAAAAAGGGATAATCAAAGCCCTTATCTACAAGGGAAGTTCTGAGGATGAAACAGATGATAAATACATAAACCAGTTGGCCCAGTGCTCAGCATGGAGAGGTCTCAGTAAATGGCTAAAAAAAGCAGTCCCTCCCCTCTGCTCATTTCCTGCCAGCTTTGGGGAGCTGGCGGCCTGCCCACCTGCTTGGCTTCTAGCCTTCTAGCATTTCCCAAGAATCCTCCTGACAGTCTAGCCCATCATGGTCCAGGGCACCCTGCCACCACCTTTTCTCCTCAATACCACTTCCCACCACCATGATGTCCTCCTAACCATCAGCCAGGGCTGTCCTCCCTGCTGCCCCTGCCTGCTCTCCCCACTTTATTCCCATTGAGCCTCTTCACCTGGGCCGCAGCCCACCTGCCCCAGAGCTAAGCTACAAGTAGGATTCCTGAATTTCCATGGACATGAGGTGACTGAAGCCCCATTTCTGGGCTCCTGTCCTCCCAGGGGAACCCCCACCCTTGGTCCTTGTGGAAGGGCAAGAGTGGGTTTTAAATAATTAAGAAATCCCATCATGGTAACCCCCCTTCTAAATACCTCAAAAAGTTGAAAAAGTAGTATCATGAACATCTGAATACTCTTTACTTTTGTTTTTAACCTAAATTCATCAACTATTAATATTTTGCATTTTTGTTTTATCTTTCTCTACATACATGTGTGAACGCACACACAAGTACTAAATTGCAGACATCAGAACATTTGATACTTCAGTATGTCTCCTTAGGACTCCTATATCACCTTGACGGAATTGTAACATTTGAGGAACTTAACAGCAATACACCGTGCACTAGCAGATTTTCATAGATGGTGCCAATATATCCCAATATATCCTTTTTTTTTTTTTTCAGTGGCACTGGGGCTTGAACTCAGGGCCTCACAATTGCAAGGCAGGAGCTCTTACTGCTTAGGCTGTTCTGCCAGCCCTATGTTATGATGGGTTTTTTTTGAGATAGTGTCTCGTGAACTTTTTGCCCGGGCTGGCTTGGAACTGCAGTTCTCCTGATCTCTGTCTCCTGAGTAGCTAGGAGTACAGGTGCGAGCCACTGGTGCCCAGCTCCAATATATTCTTTTAATCTGTTCATTTTTTAAAAATTCAAGATTCAGTCAAGAACATGAATTGTATATGGTTGTCATATCTCTTTCTTCTCCTTAATCTAGAGCAGTTCCCTGCTTTTCCCCCCACCCCCAATGACATAAATACATTTAAAGAGTCCAGGCCGGTTGCCTTTTAAAATGTCCATGATCCGAATTTGTTGGCTATTTTGTTTATATCCAGGTTCCACAGCCTTGGTAGGACTATTCAATGGGTGACATTGTGTACTTTCCACACATCGTATTGGTAGGCATTTAATGTCAGTTTTTTCCATTGTTGATGATGCCAAATGTGTTCATTTGGTGAAAGTGGTGTCCCCAGATTTCTCCAAAATAGTTATTTTTTTTTATTTTATCATTTTTACATTTACTCATATGTATATACATTGTTTGGGCCACCTCCCCCCTCCCCAGTTATTTTCATTTTATTTATTTTTGAAATAAGGTCTGGCTCTGTTGCTGGCCTTGAACCCCGGGGCTCAATCAATTTGCCTACTTCAGCCTCCCAAGTGCTGGGACTACAAGTGTGCACCACTGTGTCCAGCCTTATAAAGATATTTTTATTTTATATCTGTGCTGGGGATAGAACCCAGGTCCTTGCACATGATAGGCAAGCACTCTACCACTGAACTATATCTCCAGACTGTGGTTTTTTAAAACAGGGTCTCATTTTGTAGCTCAGGCTAGCCTGGAACTTGAGATTCTGCTTCTGCCTCCCAAATGCTAGGATTATAGGCATGAACCCACACCCAGTAAAGATATTCTTAAATTCTTGTGATTAGTAAATAACCTGTAGATGATTCTTTGAGATCTCAGCAACCTTCACCCATTTTTAGCATTTTGGTATTCATGGGTAATTCTTACCTGAGTCACCAAGTGGTGATTTTCAATCTTTGCTTCCACATTTATTTAGCTGTCATTCTCCTCCCAGTCTCCTGGATAATCTGCTCAGATTTACTTTTGTTCTCTTTCTTGGAGAAGCCTAGACTGACTGAGCTGTCTTACTTTGACTAGGTCAGGATCCTCCTTGTCTGTCCTGATAGTTCCTGCTCTTTGCCTTCTTGCATTTGTTCCAATCCCAATGCAAATATTGTGTCATTGTTTCATCAGCTTCTCAGTGTGCACCACAAGCACCATAAAGATGGCTGTACCTGTCATGTGCACAACTGCACATCCAGCACTGGCCCAGTGTCTGGTGCATAGTCAATAAATATTTGTTGAATAAACGAGCTTAGAATCTCAAGTCTTGGGAGAGAAGGATGAGTTTCCCATTTTCCCCTCCAACCTTAATTTTATGTTTGCTGTGACAAAACAGCTGTGAGCCCACTACTCACAGATGGGGAATTCCAGATCAGGAAACCCATAAGCAAAGACAGACCTTGCAAAAATTGTAGAAAGCTCTTCACCCACCTCGGCAACACACACACACACACACACACACACACACACACACACACACACACCACACCACACCACACCACACACATTGCTATCATGCCTTCAAGGCGTGCCCTGCAGCCACAGAGGAGAGCTAACTCTCTCCTCTGGCCTATGCTCATTCATTCAGTCAATGACTGTTTATTGAGGAGCTTCCTTGTGTTTGCTAGATGGTGCCAACAGTTACCAAAAAGGCAGATTGTATGTGTGTGCCGGGACTGCTCACCGCTTCCCCCTGCAAACTGAAATAATTTGATCCTTGAACTCCAACACCCTCCCCCCAACATACACCCCAAAAGCATGGGCCTTGTCACTGTGGGAAAAATCCAAATTGAACTGAAATTCCTTAGAACTCTCTTACAGTGCAATATTTTCTTGAATTATGGATCATGTCATGTGGTTTTGCATCTATAGAACTTCTAAGCATCCTAATGAGTCCAGGTGCCAGACTTCCCTCTGGGTGCTTCAGTAGGAGGCAGCCCCAGTCCCTACCTCACACAGGTCACCCTGGTAGAGGAGCAGATAGGTGCAACTGCAGTCACAGGGTGACTGTGCAACCATGGGGCAGGCACCTGGGCCAGCCTGGCTGGGGTCAGGGATTGGCTGAGATACATTGACTCATGTTGCCAAAGGCCTGGCTGACATTTTAGGAACTCATACCTACCCGGAATTTGCAAGAGGTAGCTTGAGGAACAGGGAGGTGCCTGGGAAAAGGTATGATGATAGACTGTTTGAGAGTTTTGAGAGTGGAGGTGGGGTGGATATTCTTGTGAAACAGGAAGGGCAGTTCTTACATGCCTGTGGATTTTGTCCTGTGGGTCTCTCTGCAGCTCTGGGATGTTCTCTCCCATTTCTCTTTCGATGCCTTCAAAAGAGGGTCTGGGGCTTGGCAGTAAGCCACCCCCTCTCATATGGGGTGGGGAATACAATTTATTAAATATACCTGAGACACCAAAGAACTGGTTTGAGGGACCGGCTTGTGGGCCCACACGATTCTATAAGCTCCTCTGACTTCTCTCAAAGAAGCAGTTTATGGGTGTGGGGTGGGAATAGGGCGCTTGATTTGGGAACCCTGGCAAGAGGCTGGAAAGGGCATGAGCGGGGCTGGCCTGAAACACTGCTCACCATCCACTCTCTCCCCAGCTCCCAAAATGGTGATGAAACTGGCACCTGGCCCAACAACCAGTTTGACACAGAGATGCTGCAAGCCATGATCTTGGCTTCCGCCAGTGGTAAGTGGTGCCAGTGTGTGGTGGGCTCGGGTGCCTCCCATAGCCTCCATGGATGGAGGCTGGGTATCAACCTGCATGGTTTCTCTAGATCTTGCAGTTGGTTAGAGACATTCCAGGACATAGAGTCAGGGTAAGGAACAACAGAGAGATTGGGGGGTCCTGGCCTGTCCAGTGTGACCAAGTAGCAATCCTTGGAGGAGATGTGGCAGTAATGGTTACAAATGTAGTTCTAGAACAGGACAGCTAGGTCAGGTCCCAGCTCTGCCACTTACTATTCATGTGACTAGTCAGTTTTCTCAGTCAGGAAAATGGGGCCAGGCTGGGCATGGTGGACACACCTGTAATCCCAGCACTCTGGAGGCAGAGGCAGAAGATCATGTATTCAAGGCCAGCCTGGACTACATGGCAAGATCTTGTCTTGAAAATCCAAAAACAAATAAGTAAATAAAGAAGGTGCTATCGTGAGCACAGACTATCAGGCCTGGCACACAAGCCCTCAGTGACAGTAGGCATAGATATTCTCAACAGAGAGGATAAGGCTCCTCTTTTTTGCTCCCCCCACCAGGACTCTGATTTTCTCATAAGGCTAACAAAGACCCTCACATGTAATAGAGACTCAGGCAGTGGTGGGGTTGTCCATGAAGGGTCACCACAAAGGTCCTGAGCAGGAGAAGAGTGCAGGCTTTAGAGGCAAGTCGATCTGGATTGAAATCCTGTGCCACCACTTAGCTGTGAGGACTTAGATAAGTTATGAAGCCACTTGGGTCTCAGTTGCACTCATTATGAAATGGGCACAATATTAACAGACAAGCCAGAAGCTGTGGTGGCTGAATATAAGGCCCTCAGCACAGGTAGCAGAGGGTAAAGGCACAGTATATGGTAGCTGTAATTGATTAATCACTGTCTTTATTGACCTATAATGGAATTAGAATAATATTTGTAAATGAGGATTAGCTTCTGGAGCAGCAAATGGTGGGCTTCAAGGAGGCTGGCAGAGGTTAGGCATTGACCTTACATGTGACTCGCAAGCCTTGCCCTCCAGCCCACTGGAGGGCCTGGGAACGTGCCAAGCAAACTTTAGGGACTTCTGTTCAATTAATCCCCCAACAGGTCTGCAAGGCAGGTTAGTTTTTTCATGTCTTACAGGGGAGGAATGTGGGCTCCCCTGTCCAAGCGGGCTTTGCTCCAAGGCCCCAGATTTGGAGCTGCACAACTGCCATTCCAACCCAGCTGTGCTTCCAGGTTCATGCCCTTTTTACTACAGTCTGCCTTGAGACTCAGCCTCAGTTTCCATTTTAGTTGACTAGATCTAAGCTGAACGAATGGCCTGCACTATTCTCCCAGGTTAAGTTTTCCAGATAAAATACAGGATGTGAAGGTAAATTTGAATTTCAGATGAACGAGTGTTGCTTTAGCATATGTGCATCTCAAATGTTACACGAGACAGACTACTAAAAAAATTACTCATTGTTTACCAGAAACTCAATACAATCGGAAGCTTTGTGCTTTTATTTGGTTTATTATCTGGCAGTCCTACCCTAGATATCTGTAAGGGTAAGTGGGGCCAAGGTGGTGAGTGACAAGAAGACAGAGGAAGGGACAGGTGGGGTACTGTCAGCATCCTGAGGCAGAGCTGGCCCATTTCTGGTGGAGCTGTGACCCTAGACAGGCCAGATGCTGAGTACAAAGAGGCAGGCAGCTAGGTCTGAGGAAAAGCCAAGTCCAGCTCTTGAGGAAGTAAACAGGTCTATTTAGCTGTTGTGGCCTTGAGCCCTAAGGCCAGAAATCAGGCTTTTTAGCCTAAATCCAGATGTTAAAAACAGAAATGGAAACAGTATTTATGGCCCCAAACCCTCCCAGGCAGCAGGCTCCCCTGTCAGACTCTGCCCTCGGGCCCACACAGGGCCTGCCCCATGGCTGAGACTGAACTCTGGGGAATGGACTCTGGGGTGGAGGTGTTCCAAGGGTCAGGGCCTGCTGTCACTTTCACACCCACTTCCTAGTCCCAGAACTGGAGAGGCTCCTGGAGTGGAGCCCAGCCAGGCTTGTCAGAGGGGGGATACAGGAGGGAGTAAGAGGGAGGCACCCTTGGGAGGCTTTTTAAAAAACACTCAAGGGAGGTGTGCTCCCAAGGAGGCTGCGGTTTGTAGCTCCACCGGCTCCAGGCCAGCTTCCTCCTAGCTCACTGCTTTGCTAAGAGAAAAAATCCAAGAGTCTCCTTGGACCAAGAGAAAATCCTGGTTCTTGCCCAAGGTGGGTCTTGGGAGGGAGGAGAATGGGGAGGGGCCTTTGTCAGTGAATTCTATAGAGTCAAAGCCTCTTCTCCTCAGATTTATAGGTGGGGAAGCTGTGTCTGCAAGATGCAAGGCCTGCGCCAAAATCACACAGCTCCTTAATGGCAGAGCTGACCAAACACATTCGTGTCAGTCTGTCTAGATGCCCCATTTTCTTGCCTTCCTGGTCCATCCCAATTTCAAGGATCTTGAGTGCATGTAAGATGTGGGTGGCCAGCTTTTGCCACTTAGTCAAGCACTTCCTATCTCCACATTCCTTCCTCCCCCACTTCTCTTTCTCTCACTTTTTTTGCCTCTCTCTCTCTTTGCCTCTGTCTCTCTCTTTCTCTCTCTCTCCTGTGTCCCTCCCCCACCCGCCCCGCACACCCCCCCAACCGACAGATTCTCTCCTTCTCTCTGGCGCCTCTTAGGTCTCCCCTGAAGCCCCTAAATCACTCTGGAATCCTGGCTCTTTGAAGCTGAATTCTGGCCCTTCCCCTCCCACTGGAGGAGGCTGGAAGTGGCTGGCGGCTGGAGGGAAGGGGTGGGCCAGGGAGGACCAGGCTCCCTCCTGGAGTTAATTAGGGAAAACAGGCAAATGTCAGTGAATGAAAGGGCTGAGGGAAGGAGAAGAGGAAGTGGGCAGCTGCTCCCTCCCACCCAGACCTTCTTCCTGCCCCCAGAAGGCCCTCAGCTCCAAGGCTTTGGGACTTGAAATGGAGGCTGTGGAAACCCAGGCACTGGAATGTGGAGGCAGAAAGACCGAGGAGTGTCCCCTTCTCTTATGTCCTCCCGGCTCTTCTCCCAACATTAAAAACATTTTCTGTCCATTTCTCAATCCTTGGTTGGTATTCCAGCATTACTCAGCCTCTCTGGCTTGGTCACCCTTTCTCCCTGGTCTCAAGATCTTAGGGTGGGGTCTGAGGGAGGCTGGGAGGAGCTGGTTCGGCCAGCTGGGCCAGGCTGGGCTGTACCTTCCTGGGCCTTTAACTGTCTCTCTTAGCCACAGCGGAATTTGTGGCCTCCAGTGCAAGAGTGAAACTCCAGTTTCCCCCTCTAGCACCCCTTACCTAGCCAGGGCCAGTAGAGGGTGGAAGGGATGACAACTTGGAGGAGGAAGGTGACAACAGCAGTTAGTATTTATTGAGTGCTTACCAAATGCCCAGCCCAGATGAAGCACTGTCTCAGGGAATCCTCATAAAAACCCCGTGACTGGCAGTACTTCCTCCTTCAACCTTTGATATGCATACAGATCACCTGGACATCTTGATGTAGTGCAGATCTGAGAATCTGCATTTTTAAAAGGGCCAGAATGAGTGAGGGCCAGAACATGCTTTTCTGGGCCTCAGTTTCTTCTTCTGTACAGTGGGAATTTGGCCTGACAGTGCTCTCTGATGTCACCTAGCTATGTTTGCATTGTTCCTAAGATGTCTGGTTCCTGGGATCATCTTCTTCTCAGTCTCCCAGAGCATGGTGCATCCATATCTCTGTACCACCTCCTTTGCCCTCCGAGCAGTCATAGGTAATTCTGTCCTCCAGCACACACTTGGATACACCAAGGCCTCCTGAGTTCCGCTGTCACACATACTGCCTACATCTCAGCTTTGGTTCCCTCGGCTGTCAAATGAGGACAACACCACCCGCCTCAATGGGTGTTGTGTTGAGTTTCAAAGCAACCAGGCATGTGAAGCACCTAGCAAAGTGCTTCAAATGCTCTCAAGGAATGAGTGCTAACCTGGTGAGGTAGAGCATGCCTACCTATGTAATTCTAGCACTCTGAGGATGGAGGCAGGAGAACTGCAAATTCAAGGACAGCCTGGTATACATAGTAAGAGCCTGTCTCAAAAAAAAAAAAAAGAACAAAAAAGAGTGCTTGGAAACACACCCCTCTACACCCCCACTAATTCTAGAACTACTGAATAGCTACTTAGTGCCAGGCACTGGGTAGAAGGACAGGAGGAGGGTGCATAAACTAGTGACTGATGTAAAAGCCAGAGGCTCCCTTGAGAAGGGGGGGAGGGCAAGGATTTGAGCACCAGGGTCTCCACCTCCCAGAGAAATACTAACTAGCATGTTCTGAGCACTTATCCTGCACCAGCTATGATTCTAGGTACTTTCATATGTTTTCTTGTTGAGCCTTCACCAAAGCCAGAAGTGGATACTCTTATTACCTCCATTTTGCAGAACAGAACACCAAGGCAACATTGAGAGTTTAGGTACACTAGCCCAGGATCACAATAAGAGAGCTAGAAATCAAACTGAGGCTTTGTCATTCTTGACCACTCCCCTTAACTCCTGTGTGTGGACGCTACCATGGCGACCACTGCATCACTAGTGCTCAGTGTGGGCCGGGTGCTTTGAGGGTGCTCATTCACTACCCTAATCTGCTGATGTGTTCTTCCTGTCTCTGCAGAAGCTGCTGATGGAAGTTCCACCTTGGGAGGAGGTGCTGGCACCATGGGCTTGAGTGCCCGCTATGGACCCCAGTTCACTCTGCAACACGTGCCTGACTACCGCCAGAATGTCTACATCCCGGGCAGCAATGCCACACTGACCAACGCAGCTGGCAAGCGGGATGGCAAGACCCCAGCAGGTGGCAATGGCAACAAGAAGAAATCCGGCAAGAAAGAGAAGAAGTAATGTGGAGGCCAGGCCTAAAGCCAAGGGCAGCCTCCCTCCCCAACCAGCCCAGCTTCTCCTTACCTGTACCCAGGCCTCAGAATTTCAGGGCTTACCCCCAGGATACTGATAGAGGCCAAGGCCATGCTCCCCTCGGGAAACAGAAACAAGTGCCCAGTCAACACCTCCTCTCTCTGCCCCCAGGGGGTTGAATATGCAAAGGGAGTTCTGCTGGGAACCCCCATCTAATCAATTGCTGTACCCATGGGGGTTGTGGGGTTAGTGTAGACACAAAGAACCGTTTGCCACACCCCCTTCAGTTACAGCTGAACTCCTCCATCTTCCAACTCAATCAGGCCCATCCACCCCACCTCCCACCTCCCTACCCTACCCCACTCTTTCAAAGTTCCTCTTTTGGTGGGAGTGTTGAGGTACCAGTTGACCTAAACAGGCTCATTGTTCTGAAGTTGGAAGAGCATCACGACCTCTTGGCCTCGCCTCAAATCTTGGCCTCTTCTCAATCTTCCCCAAAGCAGGGTTTGGTGCCAAATCCTTTACCTTCTAGAGCCTGAGACCAATGTCCAAGTTTGGGGGACACGGTCACCATTCCCATGGTACTGATGCTTGCTGGATTTAGGGAAGGCAGTTTGCCACCAAGCTTCTTCCCAGTGCCCTGGGGACCAATCTTTTGTTTCTCATTGTTTGATGTTCCCACTGCATGCTATGACTTCCCTAGCCCTCCTCAAATGAGAGACTCCATTGCATGTTTCCAGATTGTAGGGGTTGGTAGGCTAAAGAAGGGAAGTGTGTGTATATGGATGGGATGGGGGATGGGCAAAGCTTGGCCCACCAGTTAACAGGGGCTTGCAGGAGGCTCTGCATATCCCCAGGGTACTGGCCAGATCCCCAGATTCCAGCTATAAACAAGTACCAGGCTGGAAATCCAAACCCTCCCCCCCTCCCATATAGGGTTCAGCCCAGGCAGCCAGCTGTGGGCTGTGCTATCAGGACCAATGGATTTAAACTGGCATTTCAGTCCAAGGACGCTCTGAATGGATTTAGTACCAGGTCTCCTGGAGAGGAAAGAGGGGCCTCTGTGGGTGCTGGGTACTCCAGAGGTGCCTCTGGTGGGTCAGTGGAGCCCCAGCAGGAAGAATGGCCCAGCTAGGCCATTCTTGGTCCCTGGGTCGGTAGCAAGGAGCTAGAGCAGGGACCAAGTGGACAGAAAGCCTCAACGCACGAAAGGGCTTCTGTGCAGGGCCCCTGCGCTCCTCAAGCCTGGTCCTTCACCTTGCCAGGTGCCGGTTCTTCTCTGTGAAAGCCTCTGCCCAGGGCCCCAGTCCGCCCCCTAGTGGCCAGAGACTGGTTAAAGTCCCCCAGTGCCTCCTTGTGCATAGACCTTCCTCTGCCCATCCGCTTCTGCCCCTGTCGTCCCATTCATCCAGAGGGGCTGCAAGAGACCCTACCCCAGCCCTTACAGTAGTGTAGAGCCCCCTCCTTTGGCTGGTGTAGAATAGCCAATAGTGTAGTGCGATGTGCTTTTACGTGATGATGGCGAGTGGGCAGCGGGCGGGGGCTGCGCGCAGCCGTCTGTCCTTGAACTTGCCTGCGGCGGCTCGTACTGTGTTTTGTGCTGTGTCCACGCGCTGCGGTGACCCCCTCCTCCCGTACTGACGCCTTCTATAAACGCTTCTCTTGGCATAGTCACGTAGCTCCCCCCATTCCCTTCCTGTATCTCACGCAAGTTTTATACTCTAATATTTATATGGCTTTTTTCTTCGAAAAAAAATAATAAAAAGGTTTCTTCTGAAAGGCCGAGCCGTTTCTGTCTACAGATGGAGCTCCTGGCATGTGTGGATGAAGAGATGAGCTGGAAGGTGTGTCCTGGAAGAATGGAATCCGGAGGTGACAGTTGTATGCGTCTTGGTTTTGTGTCACTGAGCATCTAGATCTATTTCTGAGTTATGTGTGTGTGTGTTTGCTGCCGCTTGAATCTCTGTACGGCTATCCAGTATGGCTGGGCATGCTCTCAAACACCTAGTGCCTCTGTAAATGTGGATGGACTGTGATGGTGCTTGTGGATCTGTGTGCCGCGGTGTGTAAGAGGGTCCATCGTGGGGGAGGGGAGCTTGAGGGCGCGTGTCCATGCGCAGTTGAGTGTGCAGTTACTTGCGTGCTAGCGCTGTCTCCATTAGGCTCTAAGCGCCTATCTCCAGGCAGAAGAGGAGACCCTGCGCGAGTGGCGGTGGGAGTGGACGCGGGTTGGCCCCGCGCAAACAACGCTTGAAGGGTGCAGGGGACGTTTCCTTAGCTCCCGCCCCTTCCCCACCAAAATCCCGCCCCCCCGCCCTGACCAGAGCTTCGCAGGAACAGGAGGGATTCTCCTTTGCCCGCCCCGCCCCCTCCTCCCCCACCTAGAGATTTGGAGACCACCACCGGAGTGGGCGGGAATGCGGGCCTGTTTCCCGATTTGGAATTTGCCTTCCATTCATGTCTCTGCAGCAAATCTAATTAGAGGGCGCATCCCTTTCTTGCGGGGGTAAAAGGGAATGAAAGGGCGTGCGGGGAGAGATAGCCCGCAGACCCAGCTCACCCTCCCTCCTTCCTTTCTCCGTACATCTCCGTTCACTCCCTGCTCTCCCATCTCCCCGCCCCCTCCGTCACTTCCTTGGAGGGTGCGAATCTGAGGATGCTGAAGCCGCAGGAATGAGGGAGGGGAAGCCTGGAGGAACAGAAGGGCAGAAACCCACTGAGGTTATCAGAAGGGTCAAAGGGTTGGGCCAACTACAAAAGGGGAGACTGTCTCAGTGCGGATTTTCTCTGAGAAGGGTCACCGCTTCTGCCACCTCCTTGAAGTCCGTTGTCATGGAAACCAAACCTTCCAACGAAGCATCTGGAGGCGACTTTCTTGCGTGGGAGGAAGGATGGTGTGGCTGCTGAGATGGGAGCAGGGTTTTGCTTCTCAGAGCCGGGCTGCTGAGGGGTGGGGTGCTGGGCGCCTGGGTTCTATTCCAGGCACGGCAGCAGACGGGTTGAGCGCGTGAGCAGCTGTGGTTGGTCCCTTAATTGGTATGTGTGCCTATAAAGCTCTGAGCCAGAGCCGTGGCCTCTGGGGGAGAGGAAGGGAGTAGGCAGCAGCCACCCCCACAACTCCAGTCACACCACGAAGACATGCCCTTGGCTCAAAGTCTATTTAAAAGGCTTTTATTTCTAGCTCCAGAGGCTACCGAATTGTTGGTCCTCTGCAGGACCATTCCTGTTTATCCCGGGCCTGCTCATTGCCAGTGAGGTTTCTTTGTATGGGTCACAATGTGCTTACACAAGCATCGTGGCCAAGTGGCAAGTCATCTGGAGCTTGAACTAGGTAGGGCTTCTGACCTCTGCTGGGCGGGCTCAGCTTTCCAGTTCCAGCCTTAAGCTCCATTGGGATGGAATGTGGTCAGTAGCCACCAAAGCAGCAAGCACTGGGAATGGGAGCCAGATGCTTTGCCTAGCCAGAAAGGCACAGGTAAACTGACATCTGGAGTCATGGCAAAGTGGAAAGTTAAAAGTGAGTTCAAGAGCTGGCGAGTGGCTCAAGTGGTAGAGCACCTGCCTAGTAAGCATGAAGCCCTGTTCAAACCCCAGTACAAAAAAAAAAAAAAAAAAGGTGCAAGAAAAGGTTTCCAAGCCAGGTGCCTATAATCCTAGCTATTTGGGAGGTTTGAGGCCAAAATAGTTCATGAGAACCCATCTCCAAAAATAACCAGAGCAAAATGGACTGGGCGTATGGCTTAAGCAGTAGAGCACCTGTTTTGCAAGTGGAAAGCACTGAGTTCAAATTCTAGTCCAAAAAAAAAAAGAAAGGGGGGTGGGGGGGATCCAAGCCAAGAGGCAGAAATGTAGAAGAGCCCTGAGGAGTTCCTTATTTCTTTGTAAAAAGCAAATGGACCTGAGGTGACCTCTACCCAGCAGACACCACCACATATGAATCATCTCTAGCCCTGTGCCCAAGAATAACATTTGGCACCTTAAGCTTTTGCCTGATTTATCAGACCAACCAGGGGTGTGATGCAGGAAAGGAGAGGAGCCTGGATTAGAGTGAAAAAGGAAGCTGGACAGCAGTACTGTTTTCAATGCTTTATTAACAGTTGGAAACAAACCCATCAAACTGGAGGTGATGATGTCCCAGAAACCCAAAAGGGAAATAGGTTTGCACTTTGTCCCTCTAACTTTTTTTTAATATCAAATGCATTTTAGTAAAGTAGATTAAAAAAGAAAGGGTCAAAGCCCCAGATGACAGCGAGCAAGGGGAAGAAGGTGACCCAGGGGAGTGACAGGCCCCCTGCACCACAGTCTTTCCAGGAATAGCTCGGAGGAGCTGCCAATGCTCCTTTAGACATAAGCTCCAACAACCCAACCCCTCTTTTCTGGCCACAAGGCCCCCTGTGACCAGCTCTCCTAAGCTCCCGCTTTGCACTAACAACTATAATTCTGGGCCAAATCCTAACAGTGCCACTCTCTCTGCAGCTGTGGGTGTGAAGCTGAAAAGGGCACAAGGAGGGCAAAACTGTTACCCTAATCTGGAGAATCTGACCTTCCTGAGGTTAGGGCCACCGATCAGTTCAGTCTGCCCACTGTTCAGATGGAAGCAGGGGTACAGTGTGTGGGGCCTCTGTTCCCTCTTCCCAGCAACAGCATCTGCACATTTGGCTTGACAGTTCATTAAATTCATAAAAACTGTGGCCTCAGAGCTCCTCCTACTCTTAGGCTTGGCCTGGCCCAATCAGAGACGAGGCTCCTCTTGCCCCAGAACTGATGCTGGGGGAGGATCTGCCTTGGCCTCAGGGTTCAGAAGTCTTGAGGGATGAGACCAAGGTCCAGGGCATGTTTAAGACTGAGGCCTGTGGGGAGTAGCCCCAGGAACTCTCGAACCTACCACAGAAACCTTTTATATCATGGAGGAGGGAAGGGAAAAGGACGAATTATTTTTCTTAAAAAATTTTTTTCATACAAAAATAGATCCATTTGCAAAACAATTTCTCAGCCAGGAGGCTCCACCTCCCATTTCCTTGAAGACAGAGGGTGAGGTGTTGGGATGGTGGAACTACAGCCCATACTCAAAATGAGATGCACCAAAGCTTTGGGGAAGGCATTAGGAAGGACCTTAGCCTAGTGGCTGGAGGGCTGGTACAGATGGTCCAGGGAGGCAAGGGCATAAAGCATGGCAGCAGGCTGGGGGCAGGCCCCACACTGTCGCTATGCCTTACCTACCTGCCTACGGGCTCAGACCTGGACCACAGTGGTACAAGTAGAGTGGTCCAGATCCTTGTGTTTGGGAGGCTTTTCCTAAGAAGGTGGTGGTAAGGGTGGGATTTGCTCCCCGCTTCCTCAGAAGCAGTTCCCAATGCCACAGCACTAGTAATAAATAACAATAGCCAGGAGGAAGAAAAGAGCAAAGGTGGCAGCAATGAAAGGAAGGATCTAGCCCAAAGGTTCATATGCCCCATGCTGTTCTCAGGGCCAGAGAAACCACAAAAGCACAAATCCAGCAAGATTGACTTAGGGGAATGCCCAATGGAAAGCTGGGCTAAGAAAGCAGGCTGGGCCTTGTCTGAGACAAGGTCCCCTGGGTAACAGAAAGGAGACAGGGTTAAGGCAGCAAACACAGACCCTGCTTTGGTAACACAACAGCCAGGGCTGGCTGGGTGGGCTCAGGCCTCCCCTACATTGCCTTTTTCTTCTGGCCTCCAGGCAGCTGAAGCTGTTGATGATGTTCAGAGAGCAGCAGGCCAGACAGAAAGAGGTCAGGGTGGTGGCAGTGGCCACCCCAGAGGAATATCCCCTTGGCCTTTTAGGCACATGCTGCAGGTGGACAGTCTGGGCTCCATATAGGAGCTGCCATGGTGATGGAGCCCAGCTTAACTTGCACGGCCAACCAGCTCCTTGGCTTCTTCAAGGATTGTGGGGACTCCTTCACTTTTCTTGGGCACCTTGGCAGGAACAGCAGTCATAGCATCATCCTTGGTCAGCTCTGAAGCTAGCAGAGATGTGACTGCACAACCGGCCTTCCTGTTGGCTGTAACAGAAGACATGAGAGATCCCATCCATGGAAGACCTAGCTTCTAATCTCTTTTAAACTATACGGCAGCCAGAAGCCATGCAAATATGGCTGCTTTGTCTGATCAGAGAGGCTCTTAGTTTAAAGAAAGAGGGGGCAGAGACCCAACGTGTGGAAATATACCTTTGGGTGGCAGAAAATATAAGAGTGTGGTACAAGAGAGCAAGCTCGCTCTTACTTCCTCGTGTGATGATAGTACAAAGGTCTGAATACAATCAGACAGACAAAACTGGGATTAAGTGCTGGCTATATCATACTCAAAGAGAGATGAAATACTCAAGTCATTTTCTCATCATAGATTTGTTGGAATTAAGTAGACTAAAGCTTAGTACATAGTATTATTTTTGTTTTTTTGACAGTCCACAGGAAGCTCCTAGGCTAAAATACATGTCAGCCCCAGGAGGACTGTTCCTAGCTGAAGGTGACTTTAGGAGGCTGCTGAGGGGACTCTTGCAAAGAGGAGCAGAAGCCACTAATTGGTGGCATCACATGCACCTCACACTCCCACATGTTCCTCCAACAACCAATACCCATGTCAGGCTCTTTCCCATATCTTCAAGGGCCCTATGAGACATATACTGTGTTGTGTGTGTTGTTCACGTTGGGTGGGAAGGGATCAGAGGTATGCTGGAGAAGGTAGAGCTGGGATCAATAATGGCCAGGTGGGGAATCCTGTGAAGATTTCAGTGTCTAAAGGATTGTGAAGTTCTAGCTGTCATCCCACATAGGAAGAGAGATACCAATCAACCCAAGAGTTTTTGTTTAATTGTTGGAATGTGTCCCCAAGACACTCATATTCATTTATGGAATCCAGACTTATGGACCCAGTATCCTTAACAGGAAGATAGCTCTTTGGGACCAGACCCATTTCATGATGTCTGCCTCTTTCCCTGTCCTAGAAGCAGCATAGAGAAAATGCGTATACACAAAAAGCCTGGGGTGAAAGAAACCAGATACAAAAGGCCATATATGCTATGATTCAGTCCCTATGATTGTCCAGGCAAATCCACAGAGATACAGAGTAGATTAAGTGGTTGCTGGGAGTTGGGGAAATGGAGAATCAAAAGTGACTGCTAACTGGGCACTGGTGGCTCACGCCTGTAATCCTAACTACTAAGGAAGCAGAGAGCAGGACAATCACAGTTTAAAGCCAGCCCAGGGAAACAGTTTGTGAACCCTATCTCAAAAAACACTATCACAAAAAATTGGGCTGGTGGAGTAAGTGGCTCAAGGTGAAGGCCCCAAGTTCAAACCACAGTACAGAGAAAAAATAAAAATAAAACAAAAGTGACTACTACCTACCAAAGAGAGATAAAAGTTTAAGGAGATAGACATGTTTTTTCCAATCTGAACATTATATGATGTGTAGACAAGCACAGAAACATCACTAGGTAGCCCATAAATACGTATAATTTTTATATATCACTTTTTTTTTTTTTTTTTTTGGTAAAGTAACTGCTAAGAAGTACATGATTTCTTATGGAGATGAAAACACTCTGGAATTAAAGAGTGGTGAAAGTTGCATTATCTTGTGACTATATAAAAAACATTGAAGTGCACTGACACTTTAAAATGAAGAATTTTAGGTATATGAATTATGGTTCAATTAAAAAAACAAAGCAAAAAAGAAAAGACAAGACTTCCTGGGGACTCAGGAAAGTGGGAGTGAACAAAACAGTGCCTAAGCCTTTAAGAAGCAGGAGCAGATGAAAAAGCCTAGTGCTCTTAAATGAAGGTGGCAGGACCAGGGCAGCTGGGGGACATGAGCAGCAAGGAAGAGTCCAGAGGAGCCAATGAACAAAGTGCCTCCTTTGGACCAGCAAAAAGCTTTAGGTAGGCAGAAGCCAAATAGGATCTAAGAGGCCAAGTCTTGGTCTGTCAGGCTCACTGCAGAGCCATGACCCAGAGCCACTGAGTTCACACCCGCAGAGGCTACCCGCAGGTCAGGCAGGGAGCACACAGCATGCCCACAGGTTACCAACTTAGAGGTTCTTCTCCTCCTCCTCCTCCTCCTCCTCCTCCCAGGGGCAAAAACAGTTTTCTATCAAGAAGAGAAAGAACAGCGAAGTCCCGGACTGATGCCACAAAGTCATATCTGGCTATAGACCAGAGGTGTGTGACCTACACTCTGGGGCATCACCAAAACACTTGTTGGATTATGAATACAAACTACTGCCTCAGTAACTGGACAGGTGAGGAAGAGGCCACCTGATGCAGCAATGGTGGTCTACAGGTGTATACATCTCCTACCTTTCTTTTTAGTCTCTCCCCACCAGCAAAAACTTCCTCAGATCTGCTTTGTTTCCATTCTTCTCTCTCTCTTTCCTTTCTTTCTCTTTTTGTTTGTTGTGGTACTGGGGTTTGAACTCAGGACCTACACCTTGAGCCAATCCACAAGCCTTTTTGTGATAGGTTTTTTGAGATAGGGTCTAGAGAAGTATTTGCCCGGTGCTGGCTTCAAACTGCAGTCTTCCTGATCTCTGCCTCTTGAGTACCTAGGATTACAGGTGTGAGCCACTGATGCCCAGCTCCACTCTTTTTTTTGAAGCTCTTGCTTCTGCAGGACCCTATTTTTCATTTCCAGAAAAGTGACATCTCTTCACTACTCCTTTAAATTCAGTCTTCATCAGTTGGAAAATACTACAACTGTGTGTGTGTGTGTATAAATAACTTCTGGCTCAAAACGCTGGGAAAAAAAAAATACTGGCCTTTCGGAACACCTGGCCTGCTTCAACACAGAAGTCAAAATTCCAGGGCGGCAGTCTTAAGCTGCTTCTTTCTTTGGCTTCTTCCTCTAAACTAAGATGATTCCTACTGTTCCTAACCCAATGGTGTTTCAGGATTTTTCTACATTCAAGAAGCTTCTGATGCATTGCAGCTCTCTTAAGAATGAGAAGCGCATGGGAGGTAGCAAGAGGAGTAAAATTTCCCTTGCCTTGAAAATGGGTATACTAGGAATGGACGTGATGTGGCCTAAAGTCAGGGAAAAGCTCTTGTTGAACTGGCAACAGAATCAATAGAACACAGGCATCCCTGCTCCCACTCTTCTCTGAGGTTACTGTTATGATGAGCAGTGTGGTCAGGAAAAACTGACCTCCTCCCTTTCTTTCCTGAACTTGCGTACTTGTTAAGACTACTGAAAAGCAGTCATAGAACCAGTCCAATATTTTTGACTAGACAGACAGGATCTGGAAGGATTACTAACTCATTAAGAGTATGACCCCAGTGATAGGGATAGGTGGTGGTGAGACACAGATGGATAGGGGACCACACGACAACCTTGGAATACAGGTCAAAAGCTCTCTGAGGCCAGATTCCTAGAAGTTGGGGAGTGGGCAAGGATAAAAACATCAACAAAATCAATCATGTAATACTAGGAGTATAGCTGAATTAGAAAAAGATTAACAATTTGGAAAAACACCTTTATAAACTAAAGGCTAGGAACTATTTCTAAAGAGGAAGTGCTCTTGCTAATAAGCTTCCTTAGGGAAAAGGAAACTAGGACAGATGGGACAATCATTATCATCCTAAATAACTCATTATTGTCTAAAACTCTCCTAATTATACCTCCTGCCCTATTTTTACAAAACAGGTGGGAGAATAAGAAGTATGGTACAGGAATATTCTCATCAACCTTCTCTCGACAAGGGGTCATCAGAAAACCTCCCTGAAGCAATTTCACCATGTCCAGGACTCCCCTTGCTAGATCATATGAAAGAATATTCTCTCCCATACAGAAGAGTCTCTGTCTTTTCTTTTCCAATCAAGCAGTCTTAGTGGAAACAGTCTGGACTTGGATTCACAAAAGTAGACTATAGTCTAGCTCCATCTATCATTAGCCAGCTATGCAGATCTGAGCAAGACTTTAACTGGGTCTTAATTCCTTCTACCTGTGAACAAGTTAGGTACTAATCATTAAGGTCTTGAAAGTCCTCCCAAGGCTCTAACCCAAAGAGCTCTATTAGCATAGGGAAATTAGGAAGAGGGAAGTAAAGGGAGAAAGAGATGGAATTTTTTCTCCCCTTGACTTGCATCCCAGCAAATGGTTGCATATGAGAGGCTACAATTCAGTCATGGAGATAAAGTTGAGTCATTAAAACCATAAGCTGACTCAATTATGGGCCTGAAATAGCAGCTGTAACACAATCACGTGGATTCTTCCCCTTGACACTCAAGCTTTTGTTTTCCCACACCCAGCAGACCACAGCAGTTTACATGCTGTGTAGTTAACTCCCCTCTTGTAGCTCCTCAGTGAGTCTTTGTATCCTGGTTACTCCCTCCTATCTCCAGAGACCAGAAGATTTTAACATTCCTGCAGACTCTGGGGAAAAGGCTAGTGTCTGTGAATGGGGACAGCTGTCTCTTTGGGAAAGGGGAAGGATGTTAGGCAGATATGCTTGACAGTGCCTCTGGTTCTTTGGCCCTTAGCAATTGGCCAGGAGATATAGTTAGAAATAGTCAAGCAAGGGGTGGAATAGCTTAGTCCAGCAGCCCAAAAGGGAACCTGAGGCCACTGGTGCATTTATAATTTGAGAATGGGGCCTTCCAAGCTCCAGCCTCAATCTTCGCTTAATTCTACTGTCATGGTCTTAAAAAAAATACTAGCACTGCAAGGACCTTAAGGATCATTTCTGTCCAACTCTCACTTTACACATGAAGAAACTGAGTCTCAGAAACATTAAGTGACTTCTCTAAGGTAACATGAAAGCACCAGAATTAGATCTGACTTTGGGTCTTTTGATCCCAACCCTAGTTCTATGTATTCTACACTCCACTTTGTAACTAGCCTTCTGTGTTTAATGTGAGACCGTATCACTTTAAATGAGGTGAGAGTACCAAGGTCAAGCTTGCCAGAGAAACTAGAAATGGCTCCACTGAGAGATTCACTGAGAGATTCTCTAAGATATGTTCAGGTATGCTTAGTAAACCTAGAGCCCAGGTTTACAGGCTGGAGCCAGTTACTATGTAATTCTCCTTTTCATTTTTTTTTTTTTTACTTCAATATCTCCTACTGTAAGTCTCCTTCTATTCCCTCTTCCATGGGGAGACAGTACTTTGGCTAACTCAGGTTCTCTGATGAAAGGGTAGGGTAGGCTCTGACAAAATCCCTGCTTCCTCTGCCTGTGAGTCCTGGTTTTCCACTTGAAAGAAGTGGAGAATGGGACCTCCCCAGCAGAGGGAAGCCACTGATGTCTGGCTGCCTGTGTACAGGAAGCATCTGGGATTCTAGTATAGTTCCACAGGAAGAAGCTTAAAAGGGAATTCCCCACCAAAGTCTGATGCAGACTGACACTCAGCTAAGTGAGTCATGGAAGAAGTGTAGTTGAGGTGTGAGGTACTTTTGTTAGGCCTAATGCTTAATGTAAAGCCACACCACTTTATACAGTTGGTAAGAAACAGTGCTGTGAAAACCTCTAAAGACCAAAATAGCACTACTAGCCATACTCTCCACCCAAACGGCCATCTGTAAGACTGAATGCTCTGACTCGGGGAGTTAAACGCTTTTTAACCACCTCTCCTCCCCTGTACTCAGAGGATGTTTTAAAATGGATGAGTTGTGACTAGGGAGTCTTTTGTTTAGGGAAGGTTTTAAAGTCATACAGAAGGGCTCTCAGAAGGGAATTTCCCTCAGGGTATTCAGAGTATGGGTAGAAATAGGCAACCAGCCATTACAGATGAAACACTCAGTGATCTATGACATTTGGGGCAGAACACTGAGTTCATGTGGGCTGCTTACAGTCCTAGATCCTTAGGTCTCCTTCCAGGCTGTGAGAGACATTGTAGACCCTAGAGACATCACTGTATTAAAAGCTCAGCACTGGCCAAAACCAGCCATACAACTCTACTCTTTAAACAACTTCCAAGTAAAGAGCATATCAAATGGGTCTACAAAGAGCATCAGCCTGCAAACAGAGAATATAGTTTTAACTCTGTCACAAGCAGGAACCTCTAATGATATTTTTGCTATAGCTCTTGTCCTTCAACCTGGGAAAAAGCCATAACTCCTAGCCCCAAAGGGCCCTCATCAGATATGATGGTGCAGGTCATCCCCACATGAACGGCATAACTCCCCCATGGGAAAATTATCCACTACTCCTTCCTCATACTAATGTCTGGATTATTTGTCACCCAATGCCCATAGTTCTCTAAAGAGGCTCTGGCTCAGTGTAATCCACTTATATCTTCTGCAGGTTGAGAGGAGGTTATAAGGAGTGGGAAAAGCAAGGACAGCGGAGGAAAACTGCACCCAAGGAAAAAGGCAGCTCCTGGACTCAGCACAGTCCTTCAGATGAGATGCTTCTCTATATTCTTACATCTGAGGATAATGATGCCTTACCTTCTCTCTATAGGATTTTATATTCGCCATTAGTTCTTTCTTTGTAGTTCTTCTCTTTCTGAAGTTGAGAGTGACTAACTTCTTTTTTTTTTATTTCAAACTACAGCTAATATACAATTTTATATTTAGGTCAATTACTTTTCATACACACAAATATCCACTCAAGTCCCTGTGTCCTGCAGCACGGTTTCCCTGTTCCAAATTTCTGCTTTGAGAATGGGAAAATGCAAGAACAGCCCAATGTAACTGGTTTATTGTCAGTCCCTCAAGCGCTAGTTTTCTAAGTCAGGACTTTCTATTGTGGGAGGAAGATGACTACATAATCCACTCTTGGGATATGGGAAATGTAAAGCATCATTATCTGCTCTTTAGCCATATAATAGCAGGACCAAGAGCAGAGAGGCCTTCAACATTCAGGTGGGGTTCCATTTGTTTACTTACCCTGCCGGGGTCCTCTCTTCCTTCGGAATGCTGCTCCTGATTGCAGGGCTTCAAGAAGACTGTCCATCACACCTGTCTCATCACCCTCTGTGATAAACAAAGACAGAATTATAAACATTCCAACCAGAGCAGCAGGGTGAATATCACGCTTCACACAAAGTGCATGAATTTGCTTGGCTTTCCCTCTCTGGTAGTAGCTGTCAGATTAGAACAAAGAAGGAGACTCAATCTCAAGTCTCACAGGCCAGTGTTTACTTGTGTTTATTTATAAATATCCAAAAGACTTCATTACCTACTATTCAGTACAAACCCCAGAATTTTTTCCTGCAGTGCCATCCGCCCCACACTAATCAGGACTAGCACAAAGAATTATAAAACTTCCTAACTTCAACTGAGACTGAAATTGTGAAATAAATCAGCAACTACGCCAGGCAAGGTGATGCAGACCCATAATCCCAGCACTCAGGGGGTTGAGGTAGGAGGATCACAAGTTGGAGGCCAGTCTACATAGGGAGACCCCGTCTCAAGAAAGGAAAAAAGAAAACCCCAAAACAAAACAAAAAAGCAACTATATCACTTTACATCAATCTCTCATGGAGAACGAGCCTGGTTCAGGTTTTAGAGTAGGGCAAAGGGAAGGAGAGACCACTGATCAAGAGTGCATTTCAGTTAAATAATGCCTCTAGTGGCTACATATCTCTGCAGCCAGCTCTGCATCTAAGAGAAGCAGTCTGGCTGGAATACAAAGAGTTAATGTAGAATCCTAGTTCCAGCCTGGCTCAGTTTCCATGGCAACAGCTCAGGATAGTGAAATCTGAAACTGTGAAATCCCAAGGAGACAGAGGGCTGCCAGCTCCTAGACTGGGGCTTGTTGCTCTCAGCGCCACCTGCTGTCTGAACACAACCAGTACAGTTGACCTACATTCCAACCTCACATGCCTGACCTAGGTACTGGTAACAGGGCAAGGTCCTCTATGCCACCTTTTGATGGGGTGGAGACCTTATCCAACATACCATCTGAACTTTACCTTCCTCCCTTGCATGCTAGCCTGTTCACAGGGAAAAAATCCTAGAAGTAGGGGAAGAATGGGGAGGAAGGTGAAGGAATCTTGGTGTGACCTTTAATAGCACTGGTGGGACAAAATTTGGAGTTTACATACAACTGAGGTAAGGGTAAGGGAATACTTTCCAGAAAAGTAAAAGGAAATGTCCTTGGGAGCAAGAGATGTTAAGAGTAGCCCTTGCTGCTTGCGTTCAGCAAAGCACTGTGATTTCTGACAGACTTGGCAGCCCTGAGAAAGCCTTCACTTGCAGAAGACTCATGGTCCCTCAGGTTCAGCTCAGTGCCACGAGCAACATATGCTGTATTTCCGCTGCCCACGGGGGGAGGGGGCAGGGAATCTGCAGCAGGAAAGAAGCAGAGACAGGAAACAGAGGGCCAGTAATTGAGACCATATGCTTCAACAAAGGCATGCTTCTCATAATGAAACAGAGATTCTGTTGAAGACAGAAGAGAGTGGCCAGCTCTCTGCCCTGCCTTCCAGAAGTTCATTCCATTTATGATCTCATAGATGTGTGAACTAGGGACATTGTACTTAAAAGAGTAAATAAAAGGGGTAGACAAACCACTATTAAAAGGTGTGAGGAGAGTCAGGAAAACACTTTTGGTTGGAAAAAACTCAAAAGATTTAATGGAGGGAATGAGAACAAACCAGAGGAAGCTTGGGACAGGCAGAAAGAAAGAGTACATTACAGCAATACTAAAATCACAGAGGAGGTGAGACATAGTGTAAGAATCAGCAAAGAAGAAAGGGAAATCAGAATGTGCAAGTAACTGAACTGGAGTTGAAGTTGAGCATCAGGATCTCAGAGGTAGAAGGCTGCCAAAAATTGTATGTCAGATGTTAAGCTCAGACCTGAGCTACTCTCACAACCTCTAGATTGTAGGCAGAGAAGCCTTCCAATCGATCCTCTCTCAATGCATCAGCCCTTCCACACTTCCTACCTGCATTCATGTCTATGAGTTGCTCTCTCTTCTGCTGCTTTTCTAGCCGCTCCTTCTCAGCTTTCTCCTTGGCTAGTTTTGCTCGCCGCATCTTTTCTTCTGTTTCCCGCCGCTTCTGGTTTTCCTTGACTGCTTGCTGGGGGGGTTTAGGGAAGGATGTGGACATGTGTACATTCGCCACCAACCAACACAAACCCTACAGAAAGTCACTAGGTAGCCCTTGCTCACCAAAAACATATTTCTAAAGTTGTGCAGATCCATGAAGAATTCTTCCACAGATAACTTCTTGGGGTCAAAGACAAAGTAGTCACCTAGCTCCTTATAGAGGGTCTCCATGTTAGAATGCATCATCTGCAGCTTATTATATTGTTCCTGTGCATCCTTCACAAAGCTGTGCAGCCAGGGAGTAAAGGAAGCAGACCCATTTCTCTAGACCAAAGAATTACTCAAAGGTGCATACTGGCATGCATAAGGATGTTCAATAGCACTGTTCATGACAGCAAAACACAGAAGCAATCTAAGTAAGTATCAGAAGAGAGGACTGGTAAACCATAAACTATGGTACATCTTTATAATGGTAGGTAGCATTTAAAAAAACAAAACAAAACTATTCTGTCTAGAATACTATGGAAACATGGCTAAGGTATATACCATGCAAAAAAACTATACAATGTAGTTTTTGCTTTGTTTGTTTTTGTGAAGATGGGGATTAAACCAAGGGTCTTGTACATGTTAGATGAGTACTCTGCCACTGAGCTATATTCCCAACCTTTTTTTGTTTGTTTTTGTGAAGATGGGGATTAAACCAAGGGTCTTGTACATTCTAGGTGAGTACTCTTGCCACTGAGCTATATCCCCAACCTTATAATGCAGTTTTTGTGTAAAATAAACTCATGAGGTACAAATCAGAAAGAAGTCCAGTGGCAGTGGTTACCTTCGTGAAGGGGAAGGAGAGGAGAGAGTGTGTGTGTGATGGTGATGGGGCACAGGGTAGGGAAGCTGAGGGAGGACTTTTAGTTTATATGCATGGTTTGCAGTTTGTTTTCACTTCCATGAGAATTCTTTTAACAACAACAAAAAAAAAAATTAAGGAGAGAAAAATCAATATTGTCATAATCTATCTTGTCCCCCCCCAGGAGAAATTCCCCCCCCCCCTGCTTCCTAGGAAGCTACTCCCTCCATTCAAGAAAGGATATAGTCATTTTTTCAACAAACTTGTCTTTTTCATCTGTGGCATCTGGGAAATTCTGAACATCACGTTCCACATCAGAAATTTGTTTCTTCATCTGATCTAGATTCTTCTGCAAGTTTTCAGCAGAAACTACAGGAAACACAAATAAACAGATGGCAAGAGCTTATTGGTAATTCCATCTGAAGACCCCTTAGCTTCACCGTTCGGTCTACATACACATCCTGACACTTAGTTACTTTAGTTACCATACCCATTCTCCTCTAGTCCAACCTTTTCACACATTTTAAGTTTTCAACTTTGCAGCAAGAACTGTAATTATTTGCTAATTGAACTTCCAGCCTTCACACAATGTGCAGTACTAAGACCAGAAGACAGACTTCATTTAATATCTGTGAAATCCCCTGGTATCTTGGTCTCATCTATTTTAGAGAATAGGGTTTGGGAGGAAGGAGACATATATAGGAATGCAGAAGCAGGGCAGAAATCTGTCCTATTTCTAGTGAATGTTTAGCCTGGTTTTAGGATACTGAGGCCTGATGTTTGTTGATTCAGCTTGTACTTTCTGAATAACAAAAACTATGGGTCTAAACTGAAAACACCTGTTTTTCTGGTTGTTTTTTGTTTAGGAAGGGAAAGAGCACTTTCATTTCTGTACAGGTTGACCTCTTCAACCTTACACTCTTCTCTTGGGCCTGAGGCATCATGCCTAAACCCTCTCCTATTCCCACTTGAAATGGTCTCAGATAAAAATGATCTGAAGCCTACATTGTCTTATTTTTCTCCCCTGCAGAAATTTTTGGGGCTCAGAACCACCTTCTAGCTTCATTCCAACCTGTCTCACCTCGGCTGGCTTTTTCCACGTGGGCAAGCTCATCAGGAAACTTTAGAACATCAGGATAGTCATTTTCACACAATTCCGCCAAGAAATGCAACAATGTCATCTTCTGATCTGTGGATTTGGTGTCTCGGAGCTTGGAGCAAGAAAAGAAATCATTAGCCTTGACTTGCCCCAAATCATCTCAGGATAACACTAGACTCCTAGAAGACTGTAGCCTTCCCTTTGGTCATCTTGCCCTAACCCTATGGTTTGTTCACCTTACAAAGGAAGCTGATATTGAAGCCAAAAGCACCAGCATTCCTGGAGCCAGCATTCATATAGTTTCCAACAAGCAGGGTAATTTCCAGGAGGTTGGAGAAGCTCTCACTCTTGCGTAATTCCTCACATGCAGCAGTGACAGACACGATCTCTGGCTTAATATTCTCCACTTGCTCACTGAATTGAAGCTTGAAGAGGATGGCATTGAGGCGAGGCCGCAAACGGGGCACCGTGCCCATCTAGTGGGGAAGACAAGCAGTTCCATTACACTAATAGAAAGAAACCAGAAAAAGATAGAAGGCTGAGTCTCCTCGAGTTCCAGAGCAGAGAGAAGATAGAGACAAAGATATATTCAAAACAGACAAGGGGCAAGGAGCAAGTGTCCAGGCTGGTCTCCAAAATGGGGAGGGGGGGAGCTGGAGAAGAGCCAATTGCTATGGCCTTACTCACCACCACACCAAACTGCTCTGACTCAGCCAGATCATCGTACTCATCCTTCAGTTCAGAGAGCATTTTTAACTGCTCTGGCTCTGGCATCTGCTTAATGAGGTTCTGAAAGAGACAATGGACATCTTTGTGAGAGGTAGTGCTTAGTTGACTGTGACTCTCTCTCTTTTATTTTTTTTTGGTGGTACTGGGGTTTGAACTCAGAGTCTATACCTTGAGCCACTCCTCCAGCCCCCCCCCCTTTTTTTTTCTTTTATTCACATGTGCATACATTGTTTGGGTCATTTTTCCCCTGCCTCCCCCCATCCTCTTCCTCCTTCCCCCCTCAGTTCTAGGCAGGTCCTGTTCTGCCTTTATCGCTAGTTTTGTTGAAGAAAAGAGACAAGCCTAATAAGGAAGACAAAGCGTTTTTGCTAGTTGAGTTGAGGATAGCTATACAGAAATATTCCTAGCATTGCTTTCATGTACACTTGTTATGACCCATGTTGATTCATCTCTAACTGATCTTTACCCTGGTTACTGATCCCCTTCTCATGATAACCTCTGTTGCTTTAAGGTTTCTGTATTAGCTCTTCTAGAGTGGGGACATCAAGCGCTTTCATGTTTTGGGTTTTCTGCCTATTTCTATATCACTCAAATGTGCTCTCCCCTTATCATGTGATCCAAGTCTAATCACATTGCTGCATTTGCCCTAGATCTAAGTCTGCATGTGAGGGAGAACATACGATTTTTGGTCTTCTGAGTTTGGCTGACCTCACCCAGAATGATGTTCTCTAGTTCCATCCATTTACCTGCAAGTGATAAGATTTCATTCTTCATGGCTGAGTAAAATTCCATTGTGTACAAGTACCACATTTTCTTCATCCATTCATCAATAGTGGGGCATCTTGGTTGTTTCCATAACTTGGCTATTGTGAATAGCGCTACAACAAACATGGGTGTGCAGGTGCCTCTGGAGTAATCTGTGTTGTATTTCTTTGGGTATATCCCCAGGAGTGGGACTGCTGGATCATATGGCAGATCTATGTTTAGATTTTTTAGGAGTCTCCAAATTTTTTTCCAGAGTGGTTGTACCAGCTTGCATTCCCACCAGCAGTGGATTAGAGTTCCTTTTTCTCCACATCCTCGCCAACACATGTTGTTGGTGGTGTTTTTGATGATAGCTATTCTAACAGGGATGAGGTGGAATCTTAGTGTGGTTTTGATTTGCATTTCTTTTATGGCTAGAGATGGTGAGCATTTTTTCATGTGTTTTTTGGTCATTTGAATTTCTTCTTTTGAGAAAGTTCTATTAAGTTCAGTTGCCCATTTTTTAATTGGTTCATTGATTTTAGGAGAGTTTAGTTTAAGTTCCCTGTATAGTCTGGGTATCAGCCCCTTGTCTGATGTATGGCTGGCAAGTATTTTCTCCCACTTTGTGGGTGGTCTCTTCAGTTTAGAGACCATTTCTTTTGTCATGCAAAAGCTTTTTAATTTTATGAAGTCCCATTTGTCCATCCTTTCTCTTAGTTGCTGGGCTGCTTCACCAGCCCTTTTTGGTGAAGGGATTTTTTTGAGATAGGGTCTCTTGAACTATTTGCCCAGGCTGGGCTTTGAACCAAGATCCACCTGATTTCTGCCTCTTGAGTAGCTAGGATTACAAGTGTGAGCCACTGGCGCCCGGCAACTGTGACTCTCTTGTCAGTCCCACACTCTGCCCAAGGATCACTATGAAGGAAACATGGGTCAGGGGAGGCAGGAGCAGCTAATAATACTGTAGGACTTTTGAAAACTATGCTAAAATAACCTGACCACCACAGAAATGCAGCTTTTCCAAAACTAGCATTTTAAAAGTCAACAATGCTAGAGGAGGCTCCTCACCTAAGCAGGGAGGACATACAGCTGTGCAAAACAGCCAGTTCCTGAAGAACCACCTGGCTTCTTACCTGAATCATAGACTCAGTCAGAACAGCCTCATTCACCTCCAGGATGACGTTCTTAATCTCTTGATAGGGCATGCGGAAGGAACCCAAAAAGATTGCTGCCAGAAAATGAGACATAAAGACATGTTTTTTTCAGTCTCTTCCCCTGCCCTTTCTGCCCATCCTACAAGGCTATGCTGGATAATCTTTCCAAGAGGGCTCCTTAAAAGCCACTCTGCTTATGTATTTAAAACCCACACTCCTAAGTCCAGTGTTTTAGCTTTCTCTGTCATTGACCCCTACATTTATGTCATATACCAGCCACTTTTCCATGAACTACAGTCTATAAACATCACAATTCCCTGCCTTTGCTCACACAGCAAGCAAGTCTTTGGTCTTCTCTGTCTATATACATCAAAGACTCTCACCCCACTTCTATTTTAGTTCCCCACTCCCATGACTCCATCCTCAAGCTGCTATTGTCTTGACCTGCTGATTCTTAAACTGCCATGTCCCAATCCCTAACAAACACAAATTGTCCTTCCAGCTCTCATTTCCAGTCTCTGACTCTTCAACCTTATCAGCTCTCTCTCCAGTCTCCCGACCACATACTATGTCTTCTCTAGATGATCTTCACCCCACAGTCTCTCACTTCACTTGCTCTCTACTATTACTCTCATTACCATTACTACTACCACCACTACTATTCTCTTGCTTCCTGCTCCTTTCAGTCCCTGGTTAATCCAACTGTCTAATTTCTCTGCTCTTACACTTGAGCTAATAAAGATCATAGTCTATGCACTTGCAGTGGCACCAATGATAGCTGAGGCCCCAGAGAAGCTTGGCAATACCTTTCTTTTCTTTTTTATATGGAACACTTCACAAATTTGTGTGTCATCCTTGTGCAGGCATCATGATGCTAATCTCTGTATCATTTTAATGACACATTAGTTTTTGTACATGTGCTGCCAAAGAGAGCACAGCAATCGCTTTCTGTATATCCTTATCATACTCTCTTCCCACCACCTTGGCAGCTCCCATTCTTCCGAATGCTCTACCACTTCTTCACCTGTCCTAAGAAAACCTTACTCCTCTTCACTGAGAAAGAATTAAGCCAATGGGCGCTGGTGGCTCACACCTGTAACTTAGGAGAATGAGATGGGAAAGATTTTGGTTTTGAGGCCAGACTGGGCAAACAGTTTGCAAGATCCCATCTTCAAAATAATCACTAGAGGTGTGGCTCCAGCAGTACAGAATCTGTTTTGCAAGCATGAAACCCCAAGTTCAAACCCCAGTCCAAAAAAAGAACTTAAGTTGCTTGTCAAATTACTTGCCCAGGTTTCTCTCATGCCACCTAAACATTGAGCACTGGGGGCTCTCAGCTGGAGCCAGACTAGAAAAGGGATGGGTAAGGACTGTTTTGGAATCACTAAGAAGAAAACAGTGCCAACACTTCTGTAAGGTTATTAATGTACTCATATGCATATATGTATACAGTATACCCCTAGGTCACTGGGTAAATGCTCAGGACACATAGAGTTCAGTACTGTATTAAGGATGCTTGATTTATTTTCCCATAATGTCACCCAACTTCCTTCTGCTAAAGAAATGGCACCTTTAAAGAGTATAGGAGGGTGAATGTGGTGAAAATATTATGTACTCGTGTATGTAAATGGAAAAATGAGACCTGCTGAAACTATCTCAGGAATGGAAGTAGAGGGGATAAAGCAGAATGATGGAGGGGGTGAATTCAACTATGTTGTATTGTAAGAACTTTTGTAAATATCACTCTGTACCTCCAGTACAATAATAATATAATAAAAAAAAAACCTAGAAAAAAATAACTATAATACTCTCCTTCTATATTTATATGATTTTAGGGTTTTCAAGATATACCACAATCTAGACATTGTAGGAGTCCCAGTCATAAAATTTCATCCTTTTGAAAAACAAAGGTTGAAACAAAGCTATTTTGAGGTTAAGCTCTCATTTATTAGAAAATGTATCCCACACAAATAGCATAAACCCTGAATATGTCACAAGGTTTAATCAAGGTTTATTATCTTTACTTAAGTTAGAACCTAAATACATGAGGATACCTCTCTAGTTTTGTCTTTCAAATACTCACATATGCTCCCAGCATTGGAAATAGGGAAATACTACCTACAGGAGGAAATATCTACATATTGCTCCCAGAGAATTTCTGGTTTCTTCTATAATCATTTGAAATCATTGGAAATTACTGCCATATTAGGATCCAGCCATGACCTCAGGAGAGAGTTCTTCTATTGACACTTTGGACTGGAAAATTCTTTGTTGTGGCAAACTCTGTCTTGTGTACTGTAGAACAGTTCAGTGTCATCCATGACCTCTGTTAGATGCCCCCAGCATGTGTCTAGACATTGCCAAATGTCCCCTGGGAGCACCAAAATCCCTGATACAAAGCAATTATAGAAATGGCATAATGAAAGATCCACGGCACAATGACAAATCCCACATAAACAATGACTGGTAGCTTATGCAATGGGGAGGGAACACAGTGAAAAAGAAATTAAAAAGCATGTAAAAATTTCTGATTCAAGAGAGTAACCAAATGCCCATATTCTGGGAATACACCAAGGCATAGTCTAGTAATAGACTTCAAAGATTAAAAGAACAAGGCAGAAAAGATAAGGATAGAGGAAAAAGGAAAAAAGTTAGCTTCAGACTTAACCAAGTAAATGCTGTTGTGTACTATTCCTAAGAGGTCCTCCTCCCTCAGTTGTTTCATTTATTTGAAGTTTTTTAAAGATATTTATTATTTCCTGGAAGCATGACAATTATTCTGTTCCACTGCAATCATGTTGGCAACCTCCATGACCCAATGCTCCTCTCTCACTACCACACCTCTTTCCTACACTTTATAGAACTCTGAAAATAGTCTGTTTTCTCACTTCCTTTTATTCTGTCCCCATAAAGCCAATGAAAAGATGTCAACCACTGAATGTATGTATGTTAAGATTCTATCCTCTGCCACCTCTCACTCACATTCTACTGGCCACCATTCCTCCCCAAAAGAGATTCTATTCTCCGTGAATTTGCCTAGGTCAGCAAATGGTACCCAGTTTTCAGAGAGCAATTATACTCAGGAAACCACCTTCTCTTTTATCCTCTCAATCACTAAGTCCAATTAATTCTACCTTCTTTCTATCCTTTTCACACTTACTACCTTAGTTTTAGGCCCTGAGCCCCTTACCTAGTTTAAGGCAAAAATTAATTCATCTTTCTGCCTACTCTTTCCCTACCCAGTCTGAAAATCATTCTATCCTTTTCACACTTACTACCTTAGTTTTAAGCAGTACTTCCTTGAGAATGTACTCTTAGGATATTGTCCCACAGCACTTCCTGCAACTTGATTTGGATGCCCTTTCTAGTGCTCTCATAAAGCAATTTTAGCCATACTTCTAACTGCAGCACTTATCAACTGTGCTATTTTTGCCTTTTTCTTCAAGAGGATAGAACTGTCTGACTCAGTTTGCAAGAGGCACTTAGTCATGGATGAATCACTAAATTCTACTCCAGACATTCCACCCTAAAACAATCTCAATTTTTTTCTTTATTCTGTTTTCCCATACTGATATCAAATTGCACTGGAATAATACTGACACTAATCATTATTATTATTAATTATTATTATTATTATTATTATTATTATTATATCTATCTGGTCTTTTTTATATCATTTTCTAAAATTATTAATTACTAATGTTTTATGTTTCTAGAGATACCACTCTTGGGAAGAGGTACGAACTAACTGACATTAACTTTAGTCTCCATAAAAAGGACTTTACAACAAGACCTATATAGTACTATTTGTGATAATGAATCTAAGATTAACATAGTCAATGAAATTAAAGGCTTACTGCTTTGGCTGATCATTGGGACCTTACTTATGACTATGTGTACCTTGTGTGGATTTGGTCAAGTCACAACAGTGACACTTTGTTTTCTTATTTGGAGAAATGAGGACAATAACTACATTACAAGATTGTGAGTTTTATGGAATATATACCCTTCATCTTCCTGAATACCATGCCTACTAGATCCTTCATATAGCAAACGCCTCAAATATTTGTGTGAACAAAAGTTCAAATCTGTATTACTAGCATAAAGTAAGGCAGATCAACAGTTGAACAAAAAATAACATTATCCTGGACCACTATAAAGTACTACAATATCAACTTGTGAGAAATTTTCTGATATGAAATTTTTCTAACATCAGAATTCTTGAATATAGGTAACTAAGTTGAGCACAAAAAGATTTGGTAAGCAGTCCACTCTCTGGAGTTATTGTGATTCCTACTTTGAGACGTTGTAAGATTTTACCTGCATTTAGCTCTAAATTATCAATAATAACTACGTATAATTGCAGTCAAAGCTAGTACATGCATTTTACCTCATCCTATAAGTAAGATGGCGTGTACTGTGGCTAAAACACCAGAATTTCTGTGGATGGAATGGACAAGAGTAAGGGCTTTGAAATAAGTCTGATATTCAAATTCTTGATCTGTCATCTATTAACTGTCATGACCAACATTTCCTCAAGTCTTAGTCTATTTCCTTGACATAAAATTGGTCTTCTAATTTGCAGTGCTACCAAAATAGCTACAAATGAAAATACGAAATTCACCTCTGTTATGCCTGTCCATAAAATACAAGAGTTCAATAAATGGAAGTTTCAGAATCAAAACATTAGCCTCAAGAGAGTTAAATTCTTAGAAGAATCCTTCAACATTTCCAAAATAGTTAGGATCACACAGAGTTACTCAAGAGATTCTGAGCGTCTTTGAATCCAACACTTTAACTCTTTTACTTTTTTCTTTTGTACAGGTTTTTTTCTTCTCCACCCTTTGATCCTTCTTGGCTACAGGGAAAGATTAGAAAAACTGATTCAGGATAAAAGCCACCTCTGTTGCTTACTGAGCCACTATGTCCAGGTCAGAATGGTCTTGGCTTTTCTCTATTATTAATACTCTCCCATTGTACTCTACAAGGCTAATCTCTTTAGCCCTCTTTTTTAGTGACTGCCCCCACCCATGATAAAATATCTTATTTTCATTTCTCCAAAAGTTAACAATAATGTTTTTTTCTAGTATTTACAGGGGATTAGGCAAACTTTCTGGAAAGAACTGATAGTAAATAATTTAGGCCGACTGCAAGCGATACACAGCATAAATGCGCCAAAAACAACAAGATAAATGACATGGTACAGTTTATATGCCGCAAATAAAACTTTATTAACACCAAATAATTGGTAAATGGCAGTTTGGCTAATCTGGTACAAGTCTTCCACTGTTTTCCTTTTTACGCATACTTAAAATTCTCATTATCTTTCAAGCTCTATCTTGTAGCGTTGACTTTCACTATAAATTTTTCTTACATTTCGCAAACTGTCTATGCATTCTCCTAATCCAACTGAATTTTGATTATCTCTTGTTGTGAAGGGTTTTTTGAGATAGGGGGTCTTCAGAACTATTTGCCAGGGCGGCTTCGAAACCGCAACCCAACTGCTCCTGAGTCAAGCAGGATTACAGGCATGAGTTACAGTCCAGCTTGATACTCTTTATAGTACTTCTTCCAGCTCCTTATGTTTTAAGTATCACCTTGGTGAATCACACAGAATAATATACTCTCTCCTATACTTTCTCAGACTATCCAAAGCAATATAATTCATCCTTTCATATAGTCTTTCTGAATACTGTACGCCATGCTCTGCTTGAGAAGACAATTTTCAATGAGCATTTCCTGTTGCACCTTAACTCGATAAATGTTTCATGAAATTCATGTCTCTGTTTCTTGGGGGTGGTGGGGAGGACAGTACTGGGCTTGAAGCTCAGGGCCTTGCTCTTGTAAGGCAGGTCTCTACCACCTAGAGCCACATATCCAGCCTTTTGCTTTAATTAATTTTTGAACAGAATCTTGCATTTATGCTTAGGTGGGCATGGACCCGTCCTCAATAATTTTTGCCTTCCAAGTAAGCTAGAATTGCAACAATAAAATAAACTACTATGCCCAGTCATCGTGGAATATTTTTTTAAAGACTGTGTTACTTTATAATGTGGATACTTTCTATATGTAGCTATAATTTTGCACTTCATGGGCCTGGCTAAATAATATTTCATTACCCACGCCTTAAGCAGTTAGCATAATTAATAATTAATATTCACATCAAAATGGTTTGACACGGAACTTGAGGAATGGTTTGAGCCAGTACACAGAAAAAGAAACAGGAACTTTCTGGACTCACTATAATTGTATAAATAATTTGTCCTATAATTACCTTGGTACCTAAACTTTTTAAAAAAGCTCCCCAGCAGAGCTTTTCCAGAAACCGACTTAAGCTAGGTCATTCTGAGCAGAGGAACAGGTATATTCTCGAGCATGAGTGGAAGGAATACTTTTGAATACAAGACATTACTTGAATTTTAAGACCATATATGAAAAGTATTACCTGGTAGCAAATAAGAAAATAGAATAAAAATAAAGTTATATGACATAAGATAAAAAGAACTACTAAAAATTCAATCCTTTTGGCCCAGCGGGTTATAAGAAGGAAGGAATGTGCTAAATGAAGATTAGTCATTAACATAACAATTTATTGAGTACTACATGGTATGTTTAGGAATGAAAATAAAACAAGTGAACAAAATAGACGGAAAGGCAAGAACACTTCATCTAATAAGAAAGAAATAAACTAAGGCCAATAATAGGATATTGTGTTAGGCGATAGGAAGTGTTGTGAGAAGAAAAATCAGGTAGACAGAAAATCAGGGGATTTGGTGGGGAGGATAAACTACAACATAGGACAGTTGGTCAGGGAAAGGTGCTCCTGACAAGATGGTGGTTTGGGCAAAAATCACTCAAGAAGATGTAAGGGGGTAAGCCATCACGATTATTTCTGTTTAAGAGGGATAAAACTGCAAAAGCTGAGGATAGGGGCAATGCTTTGCCTGTTGTGTGGAAGAAAAGCAAAGAAGATAGGACAGTGGTCAGGGAAAGTGCTCCTGACAAGATGGTGTTTGGGCAAAAATCACTCAGAAGATGAAGGGTAAGCCACACGAATATTTCTGTTAGAGGATTATAACCGCAAAGCTGAGATAGGGGCATGCTTGCTGTGTTGAAGAAAAAGCAAAAGAAAAGTCATCTACTATGACTGGAGTAGATGGAGTGAGAGGAAGGCAGGAGATGAAATAAGAGAGATAAGACAGGATCATACAGACAGAAACAGACCTATCTTGTTTGCTTACAATGAGATTAAAAAGTTATAGATACAAAAAGGTATGCAAGATATGCAGAAGATATGACTATGTACAGCAATTTGAGAATGATAAAGGTAAATAAAGTTCCATACACTCAGATTAGTAAACTACTGATATCTCTGGACTGAGATAAACTTGTATATGCTTACACACATAATAGTCAAGACATAAACTACTAAGTAATCAAAGTGAATCTTTAAAAAATGTTCAAAACCAAGCGTGGTGGTGCACACCTGCAATCTCAGCACTCAGGAGGACTGAGGAAGCAGGAGAATTAGAGTTTGAGGCATCAGCCGGCTACACAAGTGGTTCTAGGCCAGCTTGGGCAAGACCCAGTCTCAAAACAAAAACAAAAACAGACAGGGTGCCATGGCTCATGTGTGTAATCCTAGCTACTCAGGAGGGCAGCAATAAGGAGGATTATGTGGTTGAAGTCAGCCAGGCAAATAGTTCATGAGACTCTATCTCAAAAATACCCCAACATAAAGAAGTTGTTGTGAATGGCTGGAGTGGTAGAGTGCCTGCCCTATCAAGTATGAGCCCTAAGTTCAAACCTCAGTACTGGCCAAAAAAAACACAAAAAAAACCCACCCAAAATGTTCAGAGCGGCCAACAGAAAAATAACAAGAAACAAAAGACAAATACTGAAGCGATAGACTTTAATAATTACTATTTAATATAAATGGTAAAATACAAAGAGACTAGTTAAGTAGATTAAAAAAGAAAAAACATTCAACATTATGTTATTTATAAGAAATGTGCTTTAAAAGACACAAGCAGGCTGAAAGTAAGACAAACCAGCAAAAATGGTATTTATTTTTACAAACAGAAATGACTGGGACCTGGGCAAGTGGGCTCACATTTGTAAACCGCAGTCTCAGGAGGTGGAAATAGAGAGTTTTGGTTGAGGCCAGTCCAGGCAAAAAGTTAACAAAGACCCACTCCTAACATATAAAGCTGGTGTTTGTGCTGAGCACCTATAATCTAAGGTACACTGGAGGCACAGGAAAAGATTGTGCACCAAGTTAGCCCCAGGCAAAACTAGAGACCCTATCCAAAAATAATAAAGCAAAAAAGGGCTAGAGATCAAGTAGTAAAGTACCTGCCTAGCAAGCAGATGACTTTAAAACCCAGTGCCACCAGAAAAACAAACAAATATATTAATATCAAATAAGTAGACTCAAAGTAAAGAAGTAGCCAGAGACAGACATTGATATCAGATTAAAGGATCGATCTAGACATAACTCTAAGTGTTAATAACCACACACTAGAGCCTTAAAATTACAGTTATAAGAAATAAAAACTGGTGAGAGGTGAAATGAGAAAGACACAGTCAAGTCACAGTATATGTGGAGACACTGATTATCAACCTCAGCAATTGGGCAGAATTAATAGAAAATCAGCCAGGATAAAAGCAGCAGTGAGTAAGAAAGCCAAATTACAGTGTGTAATCAACATGTAGAGAACATTTTATCCAACCAAGAGCAGAGAAAACACTTGACCATATCCTGAGCATAAAATTAAACCTGAAAAACTTACGGGATTGAAACCAGAGCATGTTCTCTGATCCTAATGGGTCAAAATAATAATAGAATAATTTCATCATAATAGAAAGGTAACAGAACAATGTTCAACACTTGAAACTGAAGAACTATTTCTAAATAATTTGAGTCAAAAAGGAAGTCTCAAGAGAAATTTTACAACTTAATTAAACTGAAAGCACAACGTATCAAAAATATATGTGACACGCCAAAGTAAGCATTGGAGGAGAAATTTTACAGTATTGTTTACATTAGAAACACAAGATTTTAAATCAGTAACCTAATTTCTTATTGAAGGAACTAGAAAGAGCAAAAACACCCAAATGAGCAGAAGGAATGAAAGAATAAGAGCAGATATCTATAACAAAGAGAAACCCTTTCATGGCTAGTCATGAAAAGGCTAAGGAAATACAATCATGTTCGCACTCATAAGCTGGACAACAAAGATGGGCCAATTCCTCAAGCATCACTGACTACCAAAACTCAATCAGTATAAAATAGACAACTTGAATATTTCTGAAAACTATTTTTAAAAACTATTTTTAAACAAAATATAAAATCTCCTGAGAAAATTTCATCGAAGAATTGTACCAAACACTTACAGAAAAAAAAAAAAAAGCAAACACTAATTTTACATGATCTCTTCCAAAAATAGAAAAAGTAGGCAACATTTCCAACTTCATTTTATAAGGCAAGTATTATGCTGATACCAATAACCTTCATGAACTTAGACACAGATATATGACTTGCAAATATTCTCCAATTCTGCACATTGCCTTCTTGCTTTCTTGATGATGTCCTTTGAACAACCTTTCCATTTTGATGAAGTTCAAATCTTTTGCTTGTGCTCTTTGTATTGTATTTAAAATGTCTTTAAAAAAATGAAAAAAGCTAGGTGTTGGTGGCTCACACCTGTAATTCTTGCTGCTTTGGAGGCTTGAGAATGGGATGATCATGGTTTGAGGCCAGACTGAGCAAATAGTTCACAAGATCCCATCTCCAAAATAACCACAGCAAAATGGACTAGAGGTGTGGGTCAAGTGGGAGAGTGCCTACTTTGCAAG